GGATTTTATTCTCCTGACTGAAGGTGTACACTTGTCATCCTCCATAAGGTCAGCCTTGGTCATTTTTGCTATGACCTCAACCTTTTCAGGGTCCACAGCCACACCGCTGCCATCAATGATGTGTCCCAGGAACTTCACTGACGATCTCATGAAGTGACATTTCTTGGGACTTAGTTTGAGATGATGTAGACGCAACCTCTGGAACACCACTTCTAACCTCTGCAGGGACTCTTCCTCGGTTGAAGCAAAGACAAGCAGGTCATCTAAGTAACACAACAAACTGCTGAAATTCAGATCCCCAAATATGCTGAGCATCATCCTCATAAAAGAGGCTGGACTGTTACACAAGCCTTGAGGCATCCGATTGTATTCAAACAGCCCCATAGGGGTGGTGAACGCTGTGTACTTCTTGTCCGTCTCTGCCATAGGGATGTTGTAGAATCCTGAGGTCAAATCCATGGTGCTGAAGTAGACGTTGCCTCCAAGAGCAGCTAGACAGTCTGACTGGTGTGGCAGTGGGTGCGCATCCTTGGATGTCCTGGCGTTAAGCCATCTGAAGTCCGTGCAAATTCTTAGACCGCCATCCTTTTTCCAAACCAGTACAAGAGGTGAGGCATATTCGCTCACTGACTTCCTTATTATCTCCTGCTCCTCCATTTCAGACAGAACCTGGCGTAGCTTTTGATAATGAGCTGGTGGGATCCGGCGGTATGGAAGGCGAAATGGACGATCATCAACAAGTCGGATGCGATGTACAAAACCCTCTGCCTTCCCACAGTCTAGAGCATGCTTGGAAAAGATGTCATTGTATTTCTCAAGCAGCTCAACCAGTTTCCTTTTTCCTGCATCATCAGCATGACATAAGTCAATATTCACTTCGCCGAGACCAGCCTGGTGCAGCCGCTGTTTCAGATCTGTGGGTCGGTCTTCAGCAGGTTCCTCCTCTGGAGTATTGTTTTCAACCTGACTGATGTTCTGAAAAACTTCGAAATCTTCCACTGCTAGACAGGGGGAAACATCTGCCAGCTTACTATTTCTTTTCAGGGTGATGGGTTTGTCCAACAAGTTGGTAACCTTCAAAGGGACCCACCGGTCACCCCACAATGGTGTTATAATACGAGCAACCATGATGTTCCGAGGCACTGATTTAGATGAGGTTGGTTCAATGATTACTGTACTCCCTGGAGACATGGGAACATCCTGTGGCAGCTTACCCCATATTAGGTGTTCAGTCCTTGCTAGCAGGGTAGTTGACTGCTGCAGCTTGACCGTACCAATCTTCCCTGGGAGGCTCCCACCTCTCCATCGGGAAGTACTTGCCATCATATCAAGGAATTGCTCACACTCTGGGAGTAGGCTGGGACTGGACATCAAACGCCAATAATCGTCAGTGACTTTAAGCTGGTGCATGAGAAACCTTATAACATTTGTTCCCACGATTAAATCATCCCTCTGACCAGGGACTACCAGCACAGGAACAACACATGTTTCTCCATACAGTTTCATTTCCACTTCATATATGCAACGAGGTCTGCTGAGAGTTCCGCCACAGCCAATGAGAACAATCTCCTGAGAGAATGGGATAGGATCTGAGAGCAACTCCTGACTCTTCATCATCTGTTCCGCCTTTTCGCTCAATGTGCATGCCATAGAACCTGAGTCAAGCATCCCCCGCAGTTGATGCTTGTTGTTAAGAGTCACAGTGGTGTAAAACAGTTCATCAAAGGGTTCAACTTTTTGTGTGTTTTGAGCTATCACCTTAGCACCAACTGGTGCTGTTTCACACGCCTTTATATATTGCTGCTCAATATCATTGCTTCTGAGGGTTTTTCCTTCTGAGCCCACATCACCCCTCATCCAGTGCAGGCCAGCTAGTTTAAATGTTGGGGATCTTGTGATGGAGAAGCATGTTCACCTTTGGCCCCAAAACGATTGGGGCAGTCCCGCTTAATGTGGTTTGGCTCGAAGCATGCTAAGCACAAGCGTTTCTGTCTGCAGTGTGTGACAGTGGAATGATCCCTGGACTGACAAACCCGGCAGGCTCTGTGCTGCGCTTGTCCAGGTAAGATCTGTCTGTCTGCAATCTGACTGTTCTGTGTGAGGGTACGTTCAAAGAGACTGATTAATGTCTTCATGCAGCTGTCATTACAGTGTTGCTGAACCGCTGCTCCAGCTTCTTGCTGCGTCTGTACATCACTTGGGTGAGAGCCTGATGGTAAAGGTTCGGGATAGGGAGCCTGAGCGTGAACTGCAGCCAGTTTAGTATATTTTGACCTTGAAAACACCTGTTCTCTTGCTTCCATCTGATAACGATCCACATGCTCCTGGATTTCACCAGCCGTCCATCTATCAGGTGCTTTGAACTTCAAAATGGCAGCAAGGGCTGGGTCTGGGCAATGTTTAACAAACATCATAGCTGCTTCTTGGCAAGGGTTGTCTATGTGCCGTCCTAAACGCTTCAAGGCTTCTTCTGCCACGTCAACCGCCTTATTCAGTCGTACCCAGTAATCTAGTGGTGTCTCTCCCACTACTGGCACGGTATTGTAGAAGTCAGCCATGGGCATGCATGAGTAAGGCACATCGCTAAAATGTTGCCGGAGGATGCTGTAGATAACATCTGGCTTCTCTTGAGGCTTAAGTGAAAGGCTATTTCTCAGTGTGATCCTCACAATGTCCTTAGCTCTGCCCATCAATTTAGAAACAATCTCAGGATATTGTTCATGAACAGGTGTGTCTCGCTTTCTGAAATATGCATTCATCATGTCTTCCCACTCATGGATGGTGTATTTGTCCGATCCATCTCCCCTGAACAAAGGAGGTTCTTTGACATCCGGCTGTATCACTAACTTTGCTCCAGTCAAATTGAGGTAAGTGGGTTCACCTGATGGTTGGTCCACGTTGTCTCGGGGTTGCAGACCCATGGTTCCTCTTTCTCCACATCCACCTTTCAACTGGTCCATTATGGACTGCCCAACTTGCTGTGCAATACTTGTGATCAGGTCATTTAATGGTGGATCAACACTAGGTGAACTATGAGAAACCCCACTGTTTTGCCCATAACTAGTAGCCGCGTCTTCAACCATCCGTGTAGAACAAAATGCTGGAGAGCCTGCAACAGTAGTATTTCTTACTGGAGTGAAATGCAAACCTTCAATCATTCTCCCTCTTCCCACAGAAAAGTTCGAACCACTCAACAGACCTGTGGCATCATCAGCTTTGCTTTTAACATAGGTCATTTTCACAGATATATATATACATATATATTTTTTTCCTTTTTTTTTTTTCCCGTGTTAGGACTCTTAACACAAAACCAAAAATACAATAGACCGAATTCCTTCCCTACTTTGGTATTCCTTGAAACCCTTTTAGTTAAATACTTCACAGTCACTTGATAGAATATTTCGGTCGCTACGGGTACACAAATGTAACAAACAACCTCCAGTGATCAGCTGACGTTGACCCACTCCTCACGAACCGTGATGGACCAGTTTGGAGCAGTGAAGAATCCGGGTCACGGCACCACTGTAGCCGACCCCTCCCTTGTCTCTTTGTATTCTGCGTTGTGTGTCGTGGACCAAGGGGCCAGCAGATAAGAACCACCACAGGGTTGCAGCCAATCAGGCAGGTTTATTCTGTTTAAAACAAGAATACTTTCAGTGCAGCACTTCAGTAACACAGGTCTCCTCACAAACACCTCTCCCAAGCGCAGCTAAGCGCGAACTCCTTACAATTCTCACTAAAATCAAATCACTATTTTACTGGAGAATCTTAAAATAAAATACAGCACATAAACCAAACAAAAAAATCTGCCTGATAACTTATTTTTGTGTATAATTTATAGAACAAACTACCATCAAAACTTTGGCACTAAAATATTAACAACCGTGGATACAATATATTTTACAGCCAACCAATGCAAAACTCACTTACATACCTGTTTAAAACAAGAATACTTTCAGTGCAGCACTTCAGTAACACAGGTCTCCTCACAAACACCTTCAATAAAGAACAAAAAGAAACCACAATGGTACAGGAGAGCCTGATAAAGGTTACATGAACTTACAACCACTGCACTGATAAAAAAACCCGCCCAAAAACCCCTAAATGGATGGATAACAACATTAAACAGGCTGTAGAGTTAATTAATGCAAGTTGAAAGTGTTTTCTATAACATTAACACATTAATTTGCGACACAACTCAACTCACTCACCTCTCCCAAGCGCAGCTAAGCGCGAACTGAGGGAAAAGAGCGCCAACACGGAAATGACATCCAGTGGGTTAAGAAAATAAAAGCTTCCCCGCCAAAACAAAATACAATCTGTATATCAAGAAGATAAATACACACAGAAAGGAACAACTGATTTTGGATGGAATATAAAATTGCTTCTCTTGTTTTACACACCTGTTACACAGGCAGGACCTGCAGGATGAAGGAATTGAAACAACTGAATGGCCTTCACAATCCCCTGACCCAATTGATCATCTGTGGGACATTATGTTTCGGTCCATTAGGCAGTGCCAGGTTGCTCCTCAGACTGCACAAGAGCTCAGGGACGCCCTCACACAGATCTGGGAGGAAATGCCACAAGACACCATCCATTGTCTCATTTGGAGCATGCCCCGACGTTGTCAAGCATGCACACAAGCTCGTGGGGGCCACACAAGATACTGAAAAGCATTTTGAGTTGCAGAAATTAAGTTTTTGAAATAATGGACTAGCCTGCCACATCTTCATTTCACTCCAATTTTAGGGTGTCTACACAATTGAGCCCTCTGTAGGCTGATAACTTGTATTTCCATTAAAAGACTTGGCATCCTTTTGTTCCTAAGAACAAAAGGATGTCGTTATTTGTATAGATATTCAACTTCATAATGAGATCTGATGTATCTAATGTGTTTCTTTAAAGTGTTCCTTTAATTTTTGTGAGCAGTATATATATATATATATATATATATATATATATATATATATATATATATATATACAAATGTACAATGACAAAATCAAACAATTTTATTTACAAGCACAATACCTGTATAAAGCATAATCAAAGTTTGACTGTAAATACCTCCAGTCAGTACAGACACCAGCAATACTTCAATTTCCATTTGTGGTTGAGTCATGATTCATGTGAAACAATTTAATAATTTAGTCACCATTTAATGTTAAAATTTAAACAACACATTTCCTCTTCCACAAAACAAAATCATAGAAATTTTTAAAGAAACAGCAACTATAAATCTTAGCATTGAAGCATCCTTTGATTGCAGTAAAAAGTAACAGATGAGTAGGCAGCAAAACATAAACTAAAGACTTTTAAAGTATTTTAAAATTTCTCATATACCAAATCTGCGTAATCTGCACAATCTTCCAGCTAAATTCTTGCTTTGTTGCAAAATTAATTCTTACTTTAGAAAAACAGTAAAAAAAAAAGAGCTGCAAAATAAAAACACCAAATGACTGCAACCCTTTTTGATGTTGCACCTATAATCAGTGAGAACTAATCTATACAATCCATTTAATCAGTCGTGAAAGGATTCGTGTCTGCGTCTCTAAAAGCACTGGGATCGGTAGAGGCTTAAGTGTAAACATATTCCACTAATCATTGAAGCAGGCACACACAAAGCCAAGGATAGAATAATTTCATGCACAGCATTTCATTGCTAAAATAAAGTTTACAAAGAGCAGTTCCAGCATAGCATGAGCCAAAACGGGCATGAACATCTCTACACCGTAGCAAGTTGGACATTTCTTTTATGCCAGGAGCCAACCCAATATCTGATTTCATGTTAATGTATTTGTAGATGAGCATTTGCACATGGGTGCGCTGCACATCATGTTTCAGACCTCATAAGGCAAAATGGCTTAAGACAAAAAAGACAGCTGGGTTGCTCTGCGGCAACGTGCTGCTTTACAAGATATCAAAGATTTGCTGAGAATTTATCTGGCTTTTGTCCAAAAAAGTTGACAGATAGGAGAAGGGGGAAATTTGTCTCTTCTAAACATTTGCAGATTCATCACCACAAAGACGTAGTTTTGATTTCAGAAGGGGGGGGGGGGGGGGGGGTCTTTACAGTAACTTTTAACTGGAAACAGGCTTCAACACAAACGGTTGTTTTCCACTTGGTCCTAGTGGTCAACCAGTGGCTATTTAATGTAGCGTAATATTGTTTTTGGACAGTAAAAAGTGCAGGGGTCAAAAATTTACTTTGGAAACAGTGGGGGGTTATGTGTCTTCCCCACCCCACCCCCAAAGACTATGTCTATGCATCAACAGCAATGATGGGAGAAAATCAGCAAAAAACTGACAGTGCTTTAAAATATTTACAAAGCCAATCTAGTTGGTAGGAAATAGATTACAAAAGTAAACAATTAGATGTTACAATTACATATTTCTCTCCTATTTGATAAATGACAAGGTTTAGGCGTCATTTGACACAAACATTAAGCTGCCACAGCGGCAGGGGGCACAAAGACACCCGCTGCAGCCTCATTACTGTGTAAGTATCTGTGCAGTTGAGTAGAAAACAACACCTCTGTACAGCAGAGCCACTGGAAGACCTCACAATAGCACATCACTATGAGGACCACTGTTCACACTAAAACAAGCATTCTATGGACCGAGTGAACCACGGTATCACAGCAGAAAGGAGTGTCTCTGAAGACAGGAGTATCTTCAAGCAAGCAAGTGAATTTGCTGTGAATGTGCTTCCAAAGCCAAACAATAGTCATGAACCAATGTGATAGAAAAACACAATAAAACACCAATAAAAAACTGGGGTAAATAGAAGTGATAAAGGATCACGTACATCTCCCCGTATGCACGTGGATGATTCCACGCGTGTGCATGTGAAGGAAGTTAAAAATTTCATGTGGCATAGCGTGAAATCCTGGCCGCGGCTTGACGTTGTCATAGTAGTGGTGAGTGATGAAGATGCCAGAGGGGTTCATGGGAAATGCCCAGAAACCGTAGAGGTGGACCTCCTCACATAGCTCCAGGGCAGCAGTCACCAGCATCAGGCCACTACTGAGCCGTTTCGCTCGCACGCCCTGCACTGCCCAGAAACGCTGCACGTTCAGAAGGTACTGCGGGTGGAAGAAGAACACGCCTCTCTGGGAGTCAAAATCATCCAGCATGTACTTGACTCTGAAAGAGACATCGGTGTTGCGGGTGTTGTAGAAGGCGGGCAGCACCACCGAGGAGTTCTCGTAATTCTGGAGGACCTCGTAAAAGGGACGACGCCATTTCTCCAGCTTCTGAAATCTGCAGAGTTAGCGAAACATTAAAAAATGCTTAAAAAAGAGATAAAGTCATAAGATCGTCTCCTTATCATTACCTCTCAGTTATGATGCTTGGATTTATTGTCACCAGGTTGGTTTTTGTACCAACATCTGCTGAGTACTTGTCATTGATGGGTGGTACATTGCATCTGCAGAAGAAAAAAGAAAACCAGGAAATCATCAAAGACCATTACATATGTATACACACTCATGCAGTCATCAGTTTGCTTCAGTTTCACTTAATTGAAAAAGAAATCTGGAGTTTATTCTCAGAGGCCACTATCTAGAGGTGGAACAATGTATCGCACCTTAAGCCCCTTTCCCTACTTCTGTGACAATGGCTGGAAGTAAAGCCTCTCATTCATGAACACGCGCCTCTAACTGTGTAACTGTAACTGTGTAATACAGCATAATATGAGAATGATAATTATTCTGCCTGAGTAATGTTGCTATTATTTTAATTATTGTAGTGTTATGCATTTCTTACAGGGAAGTATTTGTCCTGATTGAATTTTAATTGTTAAGTGTTATGTATTTCTTTCAACTTGCACCCAGGAGTGGCTTCCAAATTTCGTTGTACGAGTGTGTACAGTGACAATAAAGGATATTCTATTCTATTCCATTCTATTCTATTCTATTCTATTTCTGCATCTGTAAATGCTCACAAATCCATGTGAACTTTCAGGGCAGCTTGATTTATGTAGCACATTTAATACACAGAGGCAATTCAATGTGCTTTCCAGGAGACAAAAACAGCAAAACCAACATGACAGCATAATTAAAATAAACAAAAACATTTTGAGTAAATTGATTACATAAATTAAATTCAGCAGTTAAAAGGCAAAGTTAAAGGTTTAGCAGTCAAAGCACACATGGAGCAGCATCAGAAACAATCATTCATAGGCTAATGAATACATGAATGTTTTCAATTTGGATTTAAAAATTACTAGAGTTAGGGCACATTTGAGGTCATGAAGAAGCTGATTCCATCTGTGTGCAGCATAGTAGCTGAAAGCAGCTTTACCTTGTTTGGTTCTGACCCAGAGTTCTACAAGCTGACTGCTTCCTAAAGATCTCAGAGCTCTGCTGAGAGTCTATGCTGCAAAGACATCTGAATAGTATTTTGGTCCCATGCCATTGGGTGATTTATAAACTAGTAGAAGCACTTAGACACTGAGTCTGTTATTCTGTAAATGGAATAAGCTCGATTCAAATTGATCTGCAGGACGGAGGGCAGCCTTGGCACGATTAAACCTTATTAATTGATTACATTATATCACAGCAAGGTTAGATTATCACTTTTACAGATTTCTAAAAAAAAATCATACATAAACGCTGAAAGGGGGAAAGCTCCAGATTGCTGCTTGTAGAGACACAAAGGGTCTTTTTTAAGACAGATTTTTTTTCTTAGTAAAAGCTGTGTTTTTCTGGTATTTTGATGTTTGGGACTTTTCTTTATGTTGTCATCGTTGAAGCTATTTAACATTTTCCCCACATTGAAAATCAATTTTGTACTTTTACGAACTTTGTAATTTGTAAGATCAAAGTACTAAATAATCATCAACACTTTGTTTTCCAAAAAGAACAAAGCCTGCGATTAAACCCTGCATACCTGAAAACAAAATCTGCTGAATCTATTTCTTTTCCACATTTGCTGTTCTTGATGATGCCACCGTTCCCAATGACGGCACACCTTTTGAACTGCGATTTGGAATACGGCATATCCTGGACAAAACAGATTTTGATGACAAAAACGACAGTTATTTGTTATTGTTATCGATCACAAATATTTCATTTATCAAACCAACAACTTGAAAGAAGAGTAGAAAGAATAGTTTGTAAAAAGACAGCCACCCAGAAGGAGATGATGAACTCACATCTGGAAACATCTTAAAGATCTCGGAGGTGATGGGAAGGATCCCGCTGGTGTCCACCTCATACCTCAGTTTGGTCCCTGCAGGGGTGTTCCTCTTGGTGGTGAACAAAAAGGATGGAGCATTACAGCAGCGGGACAGGGACATCCTTCAGGGGGACAGCACATGGTGATAAATATACTTTAGCTGGAGAAGTAACAGCCTCAAGACCAAAAGTACAACAGCAATCTGAGTGTTTAAGAGGTCCACGGTTAGTCATACAACAAATCAGCTTAGTTTATGTGAAGGAGGGTGTTTGTGTACTAGAGAGATACCTACTAAATGTTCTGGTAGAGGTCAGTCTTTATTGTTATTGTTATTATTATTATTATTATTAGTAGTAGTAGTAGTAGTAGTCGTGATAGTGGTAGTGGTGGTAGTAGTGGTAGCAGTGGTAGGGGTAATAGTGGTAATAGTTGTAGTTGTAGTAGTAAAAGTGGTGGAAATTGGTAGTAGTGGTAATAGTAGTAGGAGAAGTAGTAGCAGTAGTGGTGGGAGCAGTGGCAATAGTAATAGTGGTAGTAGGAGTAGTAGTAATGGTAGTAGTAGTAGTAGTAGTAGTAATGGTAGTAGGAGTAGTAGTAATAGAAGTAATAGTAGTAGTAGCAGTAGAAGTAGTAGTAGTAGTAGTAATAGTAATAGTGGCAGTGGTAGTAGTAGTAGTAGTATTAGTAGTAGTAGTAATATTAATAGTAGTAGTAGTAGTAGTAGTAGCAGTAGTAGTAATAGTAGTAGTAATAGTACTAGTACTAGTGGTAGTGGTAGTAGTGGTAATAGTAATAGTGGCAGTGGTAGTAGTAGTAGTATTAGTAGTAGTATTAGTAATAGTAGTAGTAGTAGTAGTAGTAGTAGTAGTAGTAGTAGTAGTAGTAGTAGTAATGGTAGTAGTAGTAGTAGTAATAGTAGTAGTACTATTACTATTACTGCATGATGGCACAGTTGTTAGCACTGTTGCCTCGCAGCATGAAGGTTGCAGGTTCGAAACTCGGCTGCGGCCTTCCTGCGTGGAGTTGCGTGTTATCCCCATGCATGCGAGGGTTTCCTCCGGGTACTCCGGTTTCCCCCACAGATCACAACATGCCCTATAGGTTATAAATTGTAAGTCGCTTTGGATAAAAGCGTCTGCCAAATAAATAAACATAAACATGGTAGTGGTAGTAGGAGTAGTAGTAATAGTAGTAGTGGTGGTAGTAGGAGCAGTAATCTTTAACTAAAACTGTAATTAATCAATTAGTCTTTTGCTCCAGCTGAGTTCAAATCAAAGGTATTCCAAATGTGTGTTATAGTTAGAGTTACGTGTTTAGAATGAGTCATTCTTACTTAAAGTTACTGGTCTCTTCCTTGTTCTGGTCCCACCTGCACACCTGCAGATTCCTCCACCTCTCAAACAGCTCTGAGGTTTTCACCCTGGAAGACAAACAAATAAGTGCAATCAGGAGGAATGCCCTCAGCCATGATTTCATTAAAAAAATAAAACCTGGACAACACACAAGCATGTTAGGCTTTTTATGAGTCAATAAATGCAGTAACTAGTTTGTAGTAACTTTAGTAGCACCAGTCAAAGAAAATCTGTAAACAGAAATGCTTTATCGAGTGTGTCTGAGTTCTTTATCCTTGAACTGACATTTTGTAGACTATATTAATGTGGTCACATTTTCTTTGTTGTCGTTTTTCTGTCTGACAGCATGACAGCAGCTGTTTTTGCTGCTGCTAAAGAGGCTCAAGGTCATTTTTCTAAGGCCAGTGTGGGTTTTGTTTTGAAGTCTGAACGCCTGAAGAATGTGCATAAAAGACGACTGGAAGATGTTTATAATCATAAACCAGGAAGGAGAAGCTTAAATCACTATCAGCACTAGTGGCTTGTTAATTAGTGTAATCAATCAATCAAATTTTATTTGTATAGCACCTTCTACAACATTATCCGAAGCCCAAGGTGCTGAACAACATCATTAAAAGAAAAACATTCTCAATACATGGGCATAAAAGCAGGATAAAAACATAAAGTCATAAAATAGCAAGCAAACAGCATTACAGATAAGAGATATTGGAATAAGACCAATCGATAAAAAAAAACAAATGTCGGACAAAATAAAATCAAGCATCCGGTTTAAAAAGAAGAATAGTTAAAACCATAATGTTAGGGCAATTCAAGTGACCCTAGCGCTGAAACGCAATCAGATAAAAATGAGTCTTTAAACGAGACTTAAAGACTTGAAGGGATGGTGCCTGCCTAATGCTCAGTGGCAATTCGTTCCACAGAGTTGGAGCCAAAATAGAAAAAGCACGACTACCCCTCGATCGAAATTTCGACCGGGGGACCAGCAGAAGTTCCTGCTCGGCTGAGCGAAGAGACCGAGATGGAGCATACCTGTTTGTAACGTTCTCAGCAACAGTTCACTTCCATAATGGGAAACGCCATCCATCTATTTACATCGGCTTATCCAGAGTCGGGTCGCGGGGGCAGTAGCCTAAGGCGAGAGACCCAGACTTCCCTCTCCCCAGCCACTTGAGCCAGCTCCCCCGGGGGAATCCCAAGGCATTCCCTGGCCAGGTGGGAGACATAGTCCCTCCACCGTGTCCTTGGTCTACCTTTAGGTCTCCTCCCGGTTGGACGTGTCCAGAAAACCTCACCAGGGAGGCGTCCAAGAGGCATCCTGACCAGATGCCCGAGCCACCTCAACTGGCTCGTCTCGATGTGGGAAATAATGGGAAATGTTGAGGTGGAACATGGAACATTTTAATAAAAAGCTATTAAAAATTAATACCTCCACAAGATGTTTAGAGGTGTGCAGAATGAATGTAGTTTTCCCCTTAAAAGCTACATTAAAAAAATAAATAATCAAATTATAATTTTGTCAGGCATGACACTGGGTTTATGTTTACATCTACCAGCCACTAGAGGGTACCATTGTGCTAAAACGTCTGCTCGGCAAGACAAGGCAGGGACTGTGTAAAATGGCGGACTTGACAAGCAGCTGATTCTAAGCCCAGAAGATGTTCTAACAGTAAATACTGTTAAACGTATTAGTAGAAATTAGTCCTTGCCCTGTACAATTTGTCACTGGGCATGGTGGTGACTGTTCACTTAACGTGTCAGCTGTGAACCAACACCGTGATGGCTGGAAAATGTTTTTGCACTACCAAATTTAAACACTAGATGTCGCCAGAATATCCGTGTTCCATATTCAACCTTTAACAGCCATTTTACTGAAAAATGGTGACCAGTCTTAAAGGTATGTCGGAGGATGATTCTGAATTTCAGGAAAGAACCGCTTTCTCCACGTTTTGAAAATTATTAGCATGAGAGAGAACGCTTAGTTATCCTCATGCACTCTCTGTTTACAAGTAGCTGCTGGCCTCGCAGCTAACTTCTTCTAGCAGTGATCTGAATTTCTCCAAAGCATGCCGAACTTAAGCTCAACTGTCGAGCAGAAAACTGACAACAGCGGCGTCTGTGGGGAGCCCAATCTTTGCTTTGCGCAGGAAGTGAAAACTGCTCAGCAACGAGCATGTATGACGGTGGAATTGCATGAATGGTTCACTAAAATGATTGACAGTTATGCAGACCAATCATGCAGATGATCCACCCGGAATAAAAGGATCCTCCTCTCTACCTTTAAGACTTTATTTCTCTCAGTTTTGCCATTAGTTTTATAATTTCTGCTAATCTGTTTTACTTCATTTTCTTCATACAAATTGCTGTTTGTTTGAAAGGTCTCTTAAATCTCCAGAATCAAATCAGTGTCCATTTATGACACTTTTTCAAAATTAATAAAAACTCTAAATGAAATCTGCCTAAAGAATAATTTGTGTTTTTGTTATTAGTTAGTTTTATTAAAAAATAGAAAATTATCGGTGGTACTGAAAGAAATCATGAGCAGAATCAGTGTTTGGTCGCTGCTATTCCGGCACAAAGTAAGTGTCTGGCAGGTTTTGGAGAGGGGGTTTGCGGATCAGAAAGGAAGTGAGTTTCCAGCCGGTGTCCAATAAGGGCGGTGTTGGAAGGGATGGGGATGGGGGGGGGGGGGGGGGGGGGGGACTGCAGACAAACCAGATGTTACGGACTGCCAACGCCATCCCTCCCTACAGGCAGATCAGAGTGCCCTGCGATCACAGAGGGGCCCGTCTTGCATAAGAGGATGCATTCTCATCTATGAGGTGCACCGTGCTCTGAGCACCAAAAGACAGCCAGCCCGTGAAGGAGAGAAAAAAGAGGAGTCCAATGCAGTGCATGCAGCAGCGGCGTAACACTCCCTTCCCCTTGGGCACTTTCTGTCACGGAACAAGCCAAAGCAACCCCATCTTGCGCAAGAGGACGCCTTCCCCTCCATGAGGCGATCCACACGCTGAGCACTGACAGAGACAGCCAGCCCATGAAGGAGAGAGGACAAATACAAGTCATCAGCTGACCCCTCCATCCTTTATTGTTTCTTATGGGGGGACTCTAAACAAGTCCCTGCGTAGGGTCCCCGTGCGGCAGGGGTCTCCATGTGGTAGCTTGCGGACTGCAATCGCTGGATCTATCTGGCATTAATTTGTAGTCTGGAAATTCCTGGTAGCCTACATCCTGGAACATGAGTGGTGCTCCACATTCTTCTTTGTTCTTTTTTTTTCGTCCAACCAAGAAGTTAGCTGTTCAGGCTACCGTTGTTCCGCGGTTAGCATTACCACGACCAACATTTGTATATTGCAGATGTTGAAGTGAGTTGAAACATGCAAATGTAAGGTTGTGTGTGTCTAAGCTTATGACGTGTTAAACCAGCTTTTCTGAGAACAAACCGTTTCTGCGTGGCCAATACATCATTACTAATTTATAGAAAAACAGATCAGAGATGGTACAGGCTTCTTGGCATGCCACGCTTGACGCCCCAGGCTTTATTTAACAACAAGGTAAATGTTTTAAATTCTAGGAATTATTTAACCAAAGGTAAAACTTTGAACAAAATAAGCTGTCCACCACAGATGTCAGCTTTATCACTCACATTGTCAGGACTTTGACGTCCATAATCTCTTGTCGGAGCTCCCTGCACGCAGTGGAGTTGTATTCAAAACTGCCATCGTAGTTATCCAGATACCTGAAGGGATAAACATAGTCATCGGCAGCCTACGGCAGCACACACAACAGGGTAAACAAAAAATAAAAAAACACACAACAACAAGGTTTTTAAATCATTTACATTATTAGCCTAGAAGTAATTACACTAGCATAAAAAACAGGCTATTTCTGATTGAGAACAAAACTTCTATGGTGTGACTTAATGACATTCTACAATATAGCAATTTGGGATGACGAATGGCAGACGTGATGCAGCTGATTTTTAGGCATCCCAAACAGGACAGGAACATACTGTTTACTAGACACTTGCACCAGATTCTAAAACATCTTAGACTAAACCAAGAACAGAAATATATCACACCTCCCTTATGTTCATACATTAAACTGGTTTTAAATGAAAACTCTGAGGTTAATGAGTGTTTGTGTACTTTGTATTCATAGAAACTACTTAGAGGAGAGTTAGGAAAAAAGCTGATTCCAGTGCTTTTAGTTTAAATGGTGGATTAGACGGTTGTAGTGTCATGTCTGGTGGATATGAACATGAGTGTGCTTCTGTGTTAAAGTGAACACAAAATGTAATTTGTGCTGGCTGCAGGAAAAGGACATTTTGACAGAAATATAAAATTTTGTAATTATTTTTGATCACTAGTCATGCAAGCAAGAGATCATAACTAGAGATGACTTTGGGAATTTATTATCAGGGATTAAAGAATGTGATAAATTTGAGTTGACATGGATGCAATAACAATTTAGTAAAAAACTACTGAATTACTTTGAGGGCATTTTAAAATAACTTATTTTGGTTGTTTTATTTCTTGCAGTACAACAATTTCTCAACAGATCCGTTTTCATTTAGAATAAATTGACTGTGGTTTGGGATGCAGATGGATGTGGAAACCACTATTGCAGTAATAATCATTTTATGGCTGAAAGTATTTTCCCATAAACCCAAAAAATGAGCTGTTAACTCAAATAACTAAAGTTAACTCTAATAATTCAACTGAGTTTATTTATATAGCACCAAACTGTAACAAGAGTTGCCTCAAGGGATGTCACAAAGTAAACATTCCAACTGAGTTCAGAAAATCCAGCAAACTTTACAGCAATCCTCATACAAAGCAAGCATGTAGCGACAGTGGAGAGGAAAACTGTCCTTTAACAGGATACTAACTGTACTTCAGTCTAATAACTACAGTTTCTATGAGGTTTTTTGACGTGCAAATCGATTGGTGCATTGTGATTAACGTGTCTGTTATTAACATTCTGGCCCATAATTCCTTTTAAATTAATAATTTTTGAACCGTCTAATACAGGGTTTTAGTTTTAACTCTGCTTCAACACACCTGATTTCAATCAGCAGGTTATTAACAGGCTTCTGCAGAGCCTGATGAGCTGCTGCACAGGTGATTCAACCTGAATCTAGTGTGTTGGAGCAGAGAAACCACTAAAACGTGCTGGATACTGGCCCTCCAGGCCAGAATGGAATATCATTGGCCTATTATATAGGCTGGTGATTGGGATCATTTAATTTGGGGGAATAATTTTAGCCATATCCTAATATTTATCCTTATATAATGTATCATTTTTTTACAGAGTTTACTGTAAATTATCTTTTAGATAACACACGGCTGTAACTCAAGTCAGTTTTGCAGACACTGAGCTAAAGTGTCATGTGACAGTATATTGGGTTTTTCACAAAACTTCACATGTTTAAGATTCTGCCATGAAATGTGGCAAGTGTTATCCATTTCTTCATAGAAGACTTTCGCTTTTCAAGAATTTAACCAAAAGGCCCATAATAGTCAGATATCAAACTTATAAGACTATCAGGATGTTTATACTCGTTCTAGGTTTCAATCAAATGTGAAACTCAAAATATTGAGTTTCACATTTAGATTTCCCATCCTTTTACAACCAATTTCCACCAATGTATTCAGCAGGTCGTCCAAACAAACATGTTCTGGGCCATTATAAACATTTTGATATGGTTCATAATGTTCATTGTGTTTTGTTGCAATCAAGGTTAGATATTAAATGCAACTGGGGTTTAAAAGATGGAAACGGTTACAGCATATTTACCAGCACTCGTGGAGGTTAATGGGGTGAGCTTTTAAAGCAAAACTTGTAATGAAAGAATGCATCGAGCAATGCCGGGGATTATGCATTGTTAAAGTAACAAAACGCTGGGATGAAATGATCCAAAGAAGTGATGAAACTGGTTGTCTACATCCACCTGATGATGCAGCGGTCATCTGAAAAGAGCCTATGTAATGTCCTAAAATGTTCACTTTGTTTTAGCTAAGATGATGAAACCTTTGCAAGTGTTCTCGGTTCTATGATTGAAAATTATTCACTTCATGAGATGGATTCCATCTCTTATGGCATCTGAGGTCAACCAAATTACTCCAGATAGACATCTGTTACTCAAAGAAATGATGGTTGGGAGATTTTCTGAAGATGGGCAAATCTGTCTCATCCTTGTCTTCAAGGGAAGGAGAGTGAAAAAGGGGGGGCTAGGTCCAGTTCAAAGAGAGACAATGTAGATGTGAGAAGGGAAAACAGGGAGAGCAGAGAGAAGTGTCCACACTATGTACATGGCATACACGCAAAGCTGTGCAGAATATATGACACAAAAGTTGAGGAGAACAAGGCATTTCGAGATGGGTGCAGGATGGGACACAACGGGACAAGGAGAAGCCGGTACATCAACAGGAGACTGGGGTTCAACCAGCTTCTGAGAGAAGGGAGGGGGTGGACGGATCAGACAACATGCAAGAGCAAATCTGAAGTGCAACCACCACTAAAAGATATGAGGGTTTAGACCTGTCATACTAACAACAGAAAGAAAAAAGCATTCTTCGGTTTCTGTGAAAGAAAAAGCACTAAAATGCCTTCAAAACGGCCTACCTTTGAGAGCGTTTTTTTTTCTTCTTAATATCGGCTAGGCAGGGTGTGATTACTACGGAGATCTGTGAATCTGGCTGAAAATTCTGACGAAAACATCTGTCAACATGCAGACAGGTTGAGTTAGAGTTAAATGTGTGATGTTACCCCCTGACATCACAACCCCTCGCTAACCACAGAAGAAAATTGTGCTGCTGCTGCAGCTTGTGTTCTCTCTAAAGCATCAGAGGAAACTCAAGAGCAAAATCCCAGTCCATGCATGCAGGCCTGGGTCAAACTCATCTCTCTTTCTCTCTCTCTCTCTCTCTCTCTCTCTCTCTCTCTCTCTCTCTCTCTCTCTCTCTCTCTCTCTCTCTCACACACACACACACACACACATTCTCTCTCTCTCTCTCTTGTTTCTCTGAGATGTTGTGTCATACGTTCGTCAGACTTGAAAGGTACCTTTTCCTTCCATTTCTGGCAGGCCTCAGAGATCCATCATCGAAGAAATTAACGGGGCCGGTCCAATTTCCGGTCTCGTCCCCTTTGAGTCGGCTAAACTGTTGTGCACTAGTAAGAAAATCAGTCAGTTTAAATGGGATTTACTTTCTTTATTCTGCACATGCACACACACACACACACACACACACACACACACACATAAATTTTCACTCATGAATCTTTGTCATCAAGTCATGCACGTAAACATTGAAGCAGATCGACTCAAGAAAGCTGTCAGAGTACGACACCAAACATTAGTGATCGACACCATGGTCCCAGTGACTGCAGAGCTGTTGCTACTACTCTGAGTAGAGTTCTGGCATTCACACACTGCTATATTGGCTCACAGGAGTGTAAAGACTTTCAAACTGATGTAATGAGGTTGTTGTCGTTTACAGAAGGAGCAGTAATGGGTGCCAGTTTGTTGCTGCAAATGTCACACTGAATCTCAAGAAGAGAACAGATGTGCCAAATCTCTCGTATCCTCTATAAAGAAAGCAATTTACCTTCTCAGCAGGATGCTACTCACAAAAAATCTGCTGACTCATTGTTTAACATCCTACAGGCTGTTGGATAATCCTGAAATCTAAATTGAATGAACATCATTCCTGATATGATTTTTTGCTTTAGCCATACTAAAACCTACTCACTAGCATAAGCCTCAGCATACATAAGTCACATGCTCTGTCCCAGTTGCCTGGTTGTGTGAAGTCCTTGATTGCACTGAGTGGATGCACCTGTGGGTGCAGGATAAAAGCCTGGTGCAGCTTCAGGGAGAGCTCCTGTTTGTTTGCTGTTTTGGTGGGGCCCTTTGATGGTTGTTTTTATTATTTAAAAATGTATTCAGTCTCCATTTCATTTGCCTGACCTGCCAGATTCACCCTCTGTCTATTCTACACAGAGGATGAGCCTGAATTCTCAGAGGCAGAGTGCACCATGAGTGGCGGGGCTAGCCCGCTAAAAAATAACCATCAGAAAAAAGGCAAATGACGACTGTATTGTGCAACACTGTAGTTTTGTAGCTGCAGTCAAAGATGGCGTCTCGCCAGCGCAAACATCTTTTTTTAATCACTTCTCCTTGTTGTGGTTTGTCCAAGTCATTTAGAACAGAGGAAAAAGCTGCACCAAACTCCGTTTCAGATGCCGTCTTCATTGTTTATGAGAAACTGAGTGTCGCTGCTGTGTGTGATGTACTCTGCTCAGTGCTGATAGGTTCGGTTAAAATTCTCAGGGGGTGTGGTCATTTGGATGGGGACGTTACCAGGTCCTTTGCAGCCCATAAGGAAGCATTGGCATGGCTAACCAGGCTACCATTTTATAGCCTGGTCCCACTAGCCAGGTTGCAGTGATGGAATGTAGAAAAAGTACAAGGACTTTGATACTGTACTGAAGTACAATTTTTCTGTATCGATATTTTACTCAAATAATTTTCTTCAGGCCTACATTTTACTTTAACTCTACTACATTTAAAAGCAAGTTTCTGTACTTTCTACTCCACTAAATTCTCTGCAAGGTTTCAAAATGTAAAGTACTTTAATTAGCTTTTTTTCCGACCCCCCAACCCACCCTGGGTCCCCAGCACACTTCTGCACACACACAACGCATATTTACATGTTAGTTGAATATTTTCAGTTTTTAACTTTTAAGTACATTTGAAAATGCATTCTTTGATATTTTTTACTTAAAGCAGTAATCTGGAGTTCTACCCTTTCAGGAATTATTTATGATTTTTTTTTAGAAATGTACAAAACTGAGATTCTTAGCATGTAATGAATTGGGCAATATGTCTTTGTTTAGCTTTCTTTTTTTTTTTTTAAAGCCTGTCCCCGTCCCTTAGAGCTCCATGCAATTTGATCTGAGTGAACACAACATTATAATAATAATCCTAAAACAATGTGTTTTAGCTCTGTTGACCAGCTAGTTCATGAACGAGAGGCGTTGCTTCCAGCTGTAAACAATGCATTTTTCAGCCTCTAAATTTCTCTAAGTCAAATATTTCTTGGATGCTTCCACTTTTAAGTAATTTATTTTACCCCTTCATCTGTATTTTTACTTAAGTAAAAAATAAAGTACTTCTTCCATCACCGCCAGGTTGTAACATAAAAGGGGGCTCGTCCAGGATGGACACATAAAATAATTGCATTTTTAAATATTACATTCATATTTTCTAAAATATATCTGTTTATTCAAACTAACATTTTTTGAAATAGTGGAAAATTAGATAAGTTCTCTGAAAATGGCCCAACACATTTGAATAATTACATTTCCTCCATCAGGACTGGACTTGGGTGCAGGTGTTTTTATCCATCTGACGATTACGGGGGTGTTTGTGTGTGAGTCATTTCTGTGAGAACTCTGTAGGCGTGCTAATTTCAGCTGGGGAGAACAGGACCCAGAAAGCCTCTCTGGATGTATTATGTGAGCAAGCTTTCATCACAGGGGACTTGGGTCAATACCGCTCTGCAGACCCACTAAGCTTCCCTGAGTGCCTCTTCAGCATCTCCATAACGCCCTGCAAGCTGCAACAGAGGAGAGCGCGCTGAAATCAGAGACATTTATGAGGTGGTTTTAGACTTGAGATAGAACTAACCAACGTAGAACTATTATTAAGCACAGATCTTGTTTGCCACCAAAATACTAGACCAACTACTGGTTGATTTGATATTTGCACGTTGAAAACTTATTACAGACAGACGCATATGATATATGAAATTCAGACGTTAGCAGAGCCTTTATTTCCTTTTTATGGATATTTTTAAAGTGCTTCATCCTGCTTAGAGCTGTGGGGGCCAATCAGCTGACCCTCGCACCATTTATCTGCTGCTGACTCAATTATGAGCTCTGTTCAGACAGTAATCCAAGCATCAGGAGACAAACAAGCACAGAGGTGCGCCGCCTGCTCCCATTACACCCTCAGGCATGCCAAGCTGTTAGACTGAAAGCTTGGAAGGACTTTTAATCTGTTTGATCCCACTACTTTGTGACTGCTATTGGTTGTCTAATCTCAAGAGGGTAGGGGGTGGGGTCCAAATAAATATTTTAAACACAAACCAGCCAAAATTCTTGTCAGCTTTTCTTTCTCCATTGTTTCTTTAAGAGTTGGAGTTTGTGAGACCTTGGTCGGTGTTGGACTCACAGACATTTTCATATAGATGTATGACGGTCTAATTTAGGTCATAACACTCTTAACTGGGAAGAAAGCCAAATGGAAATATTTTCTCACATATTGTGCGTGCAATGTTCTTCATCAAACAGTTCATCAGAGGTAGTCTGATTGCAGCTAAGAAAAATATTTGCTGTCATCAAAAACAGCTTGCATCTTGTAAATGTCATACAAAGTTAGTTTATAAATCTTTGCATGCTTGTTAATTTAGCATGGCTTGAATTTCCCTGAGCTGTATGGTGGCACAGTTGGTAGCACTGTTGCCTTGTATCTTATTCAGGTTTGATCTACGCTGTGGTCTTTCTGTGCAGAATTAGCATGTTCTTCCCCAGGCATGCGTGAGTATTTTCCAGGTTCGACGGCTTCCTCCCACAGACCAAAAACATGCATGCTAGGTTAAAGCTGCAATGGCAAATCTGCTAAACAAGCTAGCTTTTAAACATGGTCACAGAACACTCACCCCTCCCATCAGAACCCACATCACCAGAGGAAATGGGATAGTGCTAAACACCAGGCACTGTTTTCTATGCCCAAACATCTGTTGTTTGCCATGACTTCAAATGGTGTTTTTCTTTTTGGGACTCTGGTAATTTTTTCTAAAGTTAAAGTGGTAGCAGCCGGCTGTTTCCCCTTCTCTGATATTACTTAGCCGAGAACCTCTCACACCAGTGGTGGTCTGTTGCTAAATGTGCAAGCATGTAATAAAGAGAGGACCCCGGGAAGTGTGGAAGTGCTGTGGTTCTGTGAGACCAACCACAGGATGGTCAAATAGTTGCTTTCGCAACGGACAGTTTTAAAGTGACAGTGTGTAGTTTCCCTGGCGATAGGGGGCAGTACATTCCTAAATCACTGCAAGCAAGCATTATTTTTGTGTTCAAGTAAGACCTTACCAACAGATGGCCATTAGGGTAAAAAATCCCTGGGAGTGCAACCTCCAGCAAAATAACAAGAACATGAGATCCACTTTCATCACTGGCAACGAGTGAAGAGGTAAATGAGTAAAACAGCAATGTTTATTAATGGTGAAAGTTTTGTAACCATTTGTTACATATCAGTAAATTAATTTTGTCCTCACAGACTTCCGTAGAAGGAAACATGACATCCAGTATGGTGTCGTTCAAAGACTTAGACCCGCTCCCATGTATTTTAGAACAGATTTTTATGGTTATATTATGAAACTGCCAATATTTTTCAAAAACTGGGCATCTTTTAAGTCATTTACTACAACATTTAGATGGATGTTTCCACAATGTCACTTTAAGCTAGCTTGCTTTGCAGATTTGCCTTTGCAGCTTTAATTGGAAACCATAAGTTTTCCCTAGGTGTGTGTGTGTGTGTGTGTGTGTGTGTGTGTGTGTGTGTGTGTGTGTGTGTGTGTGTGTGTGTGTGTGTGTGTGTGTGTGTGTGTGTGTGTGTGTGTGTGTGTGTGTGTGTGTGTGTGTGTGTGTGTGTGTGTGTGTGTGTGTGTGTGTGTGTGTGTGTCTATGTGGCAATGTGATGTATTGGCAACCTGTCAAGAGTTTAACCTGCCACTCGCTTACACCAGCTGCAACCCTAGAGAAGGAAAATGGCTCAGATAATCAATTTTTTTTTGTTGTTGTTTGCTTTTTGCTCGAGTAAATAGCATTTCTGGTGTGTCCTGACGTCAGGTCTTGCAAGAATTTCTTATATTTGCTAAAATGAAAGTGTAATGTAAAACTGTGGAACGGCTCATGAGATAAAAGCTACTTCTTTAAACAACGGCTGTTCAGGACGCCATCCATCCACAAACATTGAAATGAATATAACATTTACACAAATGTGAGAATTCTTACAGCATTTTTAATTTTTTATCATTTTTTATATATATTTTGCAGCATCAGGTTTCACATTTTAAGATAATTTGTCATGAGGTGGTGTAGAAGATTTCTAAATCTAAGAAGACACATTTGTGTGGTTTTAAACTGGTCTCTTCCATTCTGCAGCATTTGCCCTAAATAGTCCAATTCTGCATCCTCCTCTCACAGAAGGGAGTTTCTCACTGATATGTCATTTTACAGTCCATCACTCTTCACAACCTGATGTCAGTGAAAGCAGCAAAGATGATTTATCACAATGCCTCATTGTGGAAACTCAGATGTACCAAGCACTATGTCCATGCTCTAGGTTTGACATTAATGGTTAACCTTTTGTATTCACTGAGGTGTCCTTTACCCTTTAAATCACCGGAAGCGGATAAGTGATCTGAAACAATATGTCTGCAGCATTCACAGACTTGTTTCTCTGCATGACACACAGGAGTGTGTAGTAGTAAACAAACGGGGTGTGGTCAGTCCAATGTGGAGGGCACATTGAACGTAGCACAAGATTAAGTCTTCCCTTTTTGGCGTATTTTTCTTCTTACGAACCACAAACTCAAGCAAACACATTCTCTCCATCCCTCTTATTCAGTCTCTCCCTTTCTCCCCCCTCGCTCAGTGGAGATAGACATGGTAAAATGGCTGCCATTGAGCCCACTGGTATCTATTGTGGCCCCCAGATCTCTCTCTCTCTCTCTCTCTCTCTCTCTCTCTCTCTCTCTCTCTCTCTCTCTCTCTCTCTCTCTCTCTCTCTTTCACAGGAGTGAAAACAAGGAGCAAAGTCAGGGCACAGATGGAGAGAGGCATGTGAGTGTCAGGTCTGTATTCATACATCTCTCTGCAGAGATCAGGATGCATGAATCCAAACTGAGTTTCATCAGGCCAGTCCAGCAGCGTGGCAGGCGGGCAAGGGACAGAGGGGGGTTAGCTGTGGAGGGGGCTCTCACATTGCAGCAAATATATGCTTGCTTTGTTGTAAGCATATATGTGCTGTCTGTAAAAAAAAACTCTGAAGATGACGGTTAAAGTTTTGTTCTTGTAGACATCCCAGCTTCTCAGCATCTGCTCCTCTCTCATTCCATTTTTCTGACTGCAATGTGGCCTTAAAGTAAAATCATAACGGCTCTTTGAAAGCGTTTAAAGTGGATTCTCAAGTGCAACATGGTGGTAAAAGGTGTTCAGAAACATCATCTTTAACATGTTGCCTTCTGCTATATCATCATCGGCTCCTGTGGTTTTCAGATACATCTGATGCTTCTATAAGATGTAGGCTATACCAGTCAAGAAGGCTGCAACAGAAAAACAAAGAAGAAGAAAAAAGAAACGAAAGAAAGGGGAAACATTACCATACACAGCTGAAGTGCTGTTTATGGTATGAGTCATGATAATCATTTTATCCAAAATTAAATCCAAAGGAAATTTGTTTCTATGCTGCTGGGAACAAAAAAAGATGGATGGTTAAATTTTTGGGTACTTCCCTGTTTATTCCTTAGTTCACTCATTTAAATTAAATTTAAATATTTCAGTTTATCATTCATATTTTACTCTTAACCACTAAATTATTCATTTGTATCAACGTGGAGGGATGTTTATGGGCTGGTTTTCCTTAAGGCCTCCGCTTTCATGGCAAAGGGGAGGAGAAATGATCCACACTTACCTCTTGATGTAGTTTTTTCCATAAAGAATTTGCTGCAAAAGCGTGACGAGTCCAAATGCGCAAATAAATATGAAACACAGCGATCTACTGCCCAGTAAATCTTTACCCGACGATGGGTCGGAGTATGCCATCCTGCGGCGCAGCATCCGGGGCTGACTGTCGGTGACACCCGGTTAGGTGTCTCTCTCCGCTGCATTCAGGACCAGAGCTGCAGGCGTCTCACAGCCGCGCAACTGGACACATGCCGTCTCCCTTTCAAAAGGCTGCTCAGCTGCTCTCATAGCATCTTTGTTTATTATGACCGATGAGCATCTGCATCACTGATCTCTCTAAAACTGCTCCAGTTCCAAAAGAACGGTCCAGGCCCGCTTCTGTTGATTTTCTCTCGTGCTTCTTCTTCTCCCCGGCGAGGCGCAGTGGCTCGGTCGGATGCAGGCGCTGCCGATAGTCGGTGAGGGCGCGCTGGGGGGTGCGTTCACACAGAACCAGCCCTAAATCAGGACAAAAGACGCGTCGAGGCTGAGGATTGCTCGTTAAAAATACACCAGATTGCTGATTAAACGTGGGGAGGATTAGCGCGCACTTCTTTGTGCTTCATCTCAAATCTGAGCAAAGCGACGTGACTGAAATGAAAAACAGAGGATGCGCCGTTTCCAGGCAGCCGGGGGCGCGCCGCGTTTCTGTCCTGTCTTACTCAGCCAAAACCCAAGGTCATGGTCCGCTTTTCAAGGATGCATCAGCACACCCACAATAGATCCCAGCGCTGAGTTCACCTGAGGCTGCTGAAAACGTCACAACAGCAGCCAAAACGGTGGAAATACCTTTAATCCGCTTGTAACATCTGGTTAGGAGCGCTGTGGGGCACCAACCTCTCAGCGTATTATCTTCAGCACACAACTAAAAACACTGGTTGTAACGTTTACCCCCTTGTCTCAGAGCACTGCAGATCACAGTGCTAAATAGGAAAACACTGAAAAGCATCTTAAAGACAATATTTTTAAGAGCACCAATCCGGTTTCAGCGGTGCATTCTCCACTGAATCTTGTCTTATTGATCACATCTTGACCAGAAATCTATTTCTGATCGATCTGCAAAACGCCTTGAGCCATTCTATAAGCAAGAAGCTTAAATTAATGTCAAACTGTCTGAAATGGCTCCAGGGCTGGGTATTACAACTGCTACCTTGCAGCAAGAAAGTCACAGGTTTGCAGCCTTTCCACGTGGAGTTATCACGTTCTCCCCATCCTGTGTGGGGGTTTCCGGGGATTCCAGCTCCTTCGCACATCCCAAAACATGCAAGCTGTGGTTAATTTATGTTGTTACAACCAAAATAAAGAAAGGAATTAATTAATTAGAAACCCTAAATGGACTAGGTGTGATTGCTTTCCAAAACGTTTATGTCAGAATCACATCAGTAGTTAGTTTTGTGTTTGTTTATGTAGTTCAGATAATGAGAGAGAAAGAGAATGAATTATTCCCACCTGGCAAATAAACAAAAGTTGTTGTTTGACCAAAGCAGATCTGACCCCTGGATACATCATTGGGGTTCCCCATGGCTGCATTTTTGGACCTCTTTTGGTGTTATACCAACATGGTTATCAGAATGGTTAAAAGAATGTAAACTGCTTGTCATGGTCTGTGTGTCTCTTTGTGTTCCTTTTGTGTCCCCTGGTCTTCAGCCCTCCAGATATTCCCTCTGAGGTCCTGTGTTCCTTCAGTCTCCATTATTTCCATAGGTCTATTATTCCAGTTTTGTGGTGTGTGTGTGTGTGTGTGTGTGTGTGTGTGTGTGTGTGTGTGTGTGTGTGTGTGTGTGTGTGTGTGTGTGTGTGTGTGAGTGTGTGTGTGTGCGTGTGTGTGTGTGTGTGTGTGTGTGTGTGTGTGTGTGTGTGTGTGTGTGTGTGTGTGTGTGTGTGCTCATGTCCTCCTCCAGCTAGGTGTGTGTGTGTGTGTGTGTGTGTGTGTTTATGTCCTCCTCCAGCTAGGTGTGTGTGTGTTTATGTCCTCCTCCAGCTGTGTGTGTGTGTGTGTGTGTGTGTGTGTGTGTGTGTGTGTGAGCGTGCGTGCGTGTGTGTGTGTGTGTGTGTGTGTGTGTGTGTCCTTTTCCAGTTAGGTCTGGTGTCCTCTCCTGTTCCTCCTCCCTGATTAGTTATCACTTTCACCTGGTTCTCCCATCACACCTGCAGCTCATCATCCTCCCATTATGCCCCAGTGTATTTAAGCCCTGTCTTGTCTCAGTGTCTTATCGGTCCATTGTTGTTTGTCAGCATTGTTTTAGTGCTCGAAGTGAGTTTTTGTCTCGTCCCCAGACTTTGTGCTCTAAGTGAGCTTTTGGTTCAAAGTCTCAGGTTTTTGTGCTCCATTGGAGTTTTTTTCGGTGTCCTGGATCTCAGGATTTTTGGATTTATTGGCTCGCTGCCATTTGGATTTATATTTTGTTTCATCCTACAAATAAACGGATTATTTCTTTATATCAACTACTGCCTCGTGTCATCTGGGGTTCCTGCATTTTGGGTTGTAATCTCCTCGAAACCCTTCATCGTGACAGAATAGACCGACCACCACTGAACCCAGCAGAACTCTGGACTCCACCATTAAACCGCTACCGGTACTGTGGCGAGCCGGAGGGGTGCCGTGCCCTCATTGAAGCATGCGCTCATCTGACCTCGGATCTTTCGGATTACGATAAGCTAACCGTCCTGTTGCTCAGTTTGGGTGGTAGCGCCCTACGTTGGGCTACAGACTATTTTGAGAATTGTCCATTTAGATCTGTGCCGTTCTGGACATTTACCAGGGAACTATTACAAACTTTTGGCCGTGATCCTCCTCCATCTGCTCCTCTTCTCCAGTCCCGCTCTACGTCTTCTTGGACAATCAGATCCGGTTTCATCTCCATCCCTCCTGTACATGTTGATGCCGTCTCTGCACCCCAGATGAGTCCACCCTCCACGTCACAGCAGCAAAGAGTCCGGGTTTCATCTCCTGATCAGCGTTGCAGGCGAGGCACGGTTCCTCCTGACGCCACCTCCAGTCTTCTGGTGGGTCAGGTAGCAAAGGGAGCTGAATCCTTACCTCAAGGTCTGCGCTCTTGGTGAGTGGATGTCCCAGAAACCTCCTCTTCTCCCTCCGTTTCTGCCGACGTCATCCCTGCACCTCCTAGGAGACGCACTCGTCACAAACGTCATCACCATCACCAGCAGTCTCCTGAAGCCAGAGCTGTGCCGCCTGTCCAAGAGGCCCCTGCTCTGCAACCCCGGACTGAGTTAAATAAATCTTCAGATGCCAGAGCTGTGCCGCCTACCCAAGAGGCCCCTGCTCTACAACCCACGTTTGAGTTTCTGTCATTTCGGCACCCTGCCTCAGCGGTGGTTCCGGAGGATGCATCGCATCCTGCCTCAGCGGTGGTCCCGGGGGACGCACCACATCCCGCCTCGGCGGTGGTCCAAGAGGACGCATCGCATCCTGCTTCGGCGGTGGTGGATGCACCGCATCCGGACCAGCTCTTCCTCGAGGCTCCGGTCCAGCCCCTCCATGAGGTTCCGGTCCAGCCCGTCCACGTGGCTCCGGTCCAGCCCATCCGCGAGGCTCCGGTCCAGCCCGTCCACGAGGCTCCAGTCCAGCCAGTCCGAGAGGCTTCGCCAAGTCCGACGCCTCCAGTCCAAGGGTCGACGCCCCCAGGCCAGAAGTCGACGCCTCCTGTCTCGAAGTTGACACCTCCTGTCTCGAAGTCAACGCCTCCTGTCTCGGAGTCGACGCCTCCTGTCTCGGAGTCGACGCCTCCTGTCTTGAAGTCGACAAAAGTAGACGTCTCCAGCTCCAGCTCTGAAGTCGACGTCTCCAGCGAAAGCTCTGAAGTCGACGTCTCCAGCCCCAGCTCTGAAGTCGACGTCTCCAGCCCCAGCTCTGAAGTCGACGTCTCCAGCCCCAGCTCTGAAGTCGATGTTTCCCCGTCTCAAGTCTCGACGTCCCAGCCACAAGTGTTCCAGTCTCAAGTGTCCCAGCCACAAGAGTCCCCTGTGTTCCAGTCCCCTGTGTTCCAGTCTCAAGAGTCCTCTGAGTTCGAGTCCCCTGTGTTCCAGTCTCAAGAGTCCCCTGAGTTCGAGTCCCCTGTGTTCCAGTCTCAAGAGTCCCCTGAGTTCGAGTCCCCTGTGTTCCAGTCTCAAGAGTCCCCTGAGTTCGAGTCCCCTGTGTTCCAGTCTCAAGAGTCCCCTGAGTTCGAGTCCCCTGTGTTCCAGTCTCTCGAGTCCCAAGTGTTCCAGTCTCAGTCCCTGTCTCCAGAGACCCTTCCTCGTTCTCTGAAGTCCCTTCCTCGTCCTCCTCCTCCAAAGCCCCCGATCCCCAGGGTTTCCTGTTCCCGCCTCCTGGTCCCCGTCACCGGCCCCCGAGACTTCCCTGGTCCCGCCTCCTGGTTCCCCGTCGCCAGCCCCCGAGACTTCCCTGGTCCCGCCTCCTGGTTCCTTGTCGCCAGCCCCCGAGACTTCCCTGGTCCCGCCTCCTGGTTCCCTGTCGCCAGGCCCCGAGACTTCCCTGGTCCCGCCTCCTGGTTCCCCGTCGCCGGCCCCCAAGACTTCCCTGGTCCCGCCTCCTGGTTCCCCGTCGCCGGCCCCGAGACTTCCCTGGTCCCGCCTCCTGGTCCCCCGTCGCCGACCCCCGAGACTTCCCTGGTCCCGCCTCCTGGTCCCCTGTCGCTGGTCCCTCTGAGTCTCCTGTTCCCTCCTCGCCCGCACTTGTGGGTTGTTTTTGTTTTGTCCCTCCTCTCTCCCCCTGTGTTTTTTGGTGTCCTGTTTTGTTTTTGTCTTTTGTTTGTGGTTTGTCTTGTTCTCGTCTTGGGCGTCTGGTATCCGCCCCTTAAAGTCGGTACTGTCATGGTCTGTGTCTGTGTCCTCTTGTGTCCCCTGGTCTTCAGCCCTCCAGATATTCCCTCTCAGGTCCTGTGTTCCTTCAGTCTCCCCACCATTATTTCCATAGGTCTGTTATTCCAGTTTTGTGTGTGTGTGTGTGTGTGTGTGTGTGTGTGTGTGTGTGTGTGTGTGTGTGTGTGTGTGTGTGTGTGTGTGTGTGTGTGTGTGTGTGTCCTTTCCCAGTTAGGTCTGGTGTCCTCTCCTGTTCCTCCTCCCTGATTAATCACTTTCACCTGGTTCTTCCCCCTCACACCTGCAGCTCATCATCCTCCCATTATGCCCCAGTGTATTTAAGCCCTGTCTTGTCTCAGTGTCTTATCGGTGCATTTTTGTTTGTTGTTTGCCAGCATTGTTTTAATGCTCGAAGTGAGTTTTTGTCTCGTCCCCAGACTTTGTGCTCTAGGTGAGCTTTTGGTTCAAAGTCTCAGGTTTTTGTGCTCCATTGGAGTTTTTTTTCGGGGTCCTGGATCTCAGGATTTTTGGATTTATTGGCTCGCTGCCATTTGGATTTATATTTTGTTTCATCCTACAAATAAACGGATTATTTCTTTATATCAACTACTGCCTCGTGTCATCTGGGGTTCCTGCATTTTGGGTTGTATTCTCCTCCAAACCCTTCATCGTGATACTGCTGCTCTATGCTGATGATAGTGCTATTATTTTACACATTACAATTTGGACATTGTTTCCAACAACTTGAAAAGTACAATTAACTTGTGCCAAAGCTGGTTATTTGAAAGTACAGCCTGCCGCACATGAGAGCAAACTGCTGAGCAAACAGCCTCGAATGACTGTTTGCTCAGCAGATACCTCGCTGTGTTCGCCTGATTTTCACGGAGTTTTCCGCTTCACAAGACGCTGAGGTGACTAGGATTCTGGGTCTTCAAGGTGCATCTCTTGGAGTAGATTGGAATAAAATACTTGCCTGGCCCTTCTTTCCAGCCACCGTACCCATACTTTCCTAACCTTGAAATGACGGTGGCGGCAATGCCTCATCAACAAAAAGTAGAGGCATTTCCTCCATTTCCAGCTCTGTCTCAGTTTTGTTTATTTTCTGACATGCAGACAGGGGGCTGCCATCTTGGGTGGAGAACAAGCTTTGATTGGCCACTGGAATATTTCAGCTCAGCCAGCGCTCACATAGTGCGCACACGGCGAATATCAAACCGGTCAGATATTCACCTCAGCGTCTCTTGAGGTGAAAATCAGGCACACACAGCGAGGCATCTGCTGACCAAAAGGTCATTCGAGGTCGTTTGCTCAGCAGTTTGCTCTCATGTGTGGCAGGCAAAAGCCATCCACAAATAGTGTATTTTCTTGGGTCACGTCACAAGCTAAAAGACATCAAGGACACTAGACTCATAGTAGCAGGTTGAGCGGGTTGTCCAGTAATCGGAAGGTTGCAGGTTTGATCCCGGCTCCGGACAGAGAATTCTGCTGTTGTGTCCTTGGGCAAGACACTTAACCCATCTTGCCTGCTGGTGGTGGTCGGAGGGACCGTTGGTGCCTGTGCTCGGCAGCCTCGCCTCTGTCAGTGCGCCCCAGGGCAGCTGTGGCTACATTGTAGCTCATCACCATCAGTGTGTGAATGTGTGTGTGAATGGATGAATGATACACTGTAGTGTAAAGCGCTTTGGAGTCCTTACTCTGAGCAGCGCTATACAAGTGCGGGTCATTTATCATTTATCATATAGATAGATAGACAGACATACACTAATTTGAAGCAAAACTAAATCTACCATTCTGCAGTAATTTTGCTCAGAGATGAATTTTCTCCCCAGCCTTTCCGTCAGCTGACGCTTTAATAACTGGCAAGGAAACTAGACATCCATCCTAAAAACAGCAGCAAATCTGCAACATAAGGTATGAATAAAACATCAATAAAGTTCTTCCTTAGCCAATTAGAAACCAGACATTAGCCTTCTGAGGCACTTTAAAGAGATTTTTCTTCATAAAAGTGCTGCTTGGTAAAAGTTCTAAATAATTACATTCCCGCCCATTTTAGCCAATTCCCTTAGCAGTGATAGCTTTCACATTCTTCTGGACAAATGAGCTAATGGTGAGTCCAAGTACAGCAAACACCAAAGTGCATAGCTGCCATCTTTAAAAAGCTCCAACTTCAAATACCACTGCACAACCTTATTTCTACATTTACACTATAACACATCACACAGTTATGGATTTATGTGGTCATTTAAAAGCTTAAATAGCATAAGTAGCGAGCAAAACTTGAGATTGTTATACACACCTTCTTCTCATGCTAGGACTACTGCAACTTGCTACATGTCTGAGCAAAACCTCCCTGTACCATCCACAGGTGGTTCAGAATGCCTGTGCTCAGCTTCTGAGCAAATCATCAAAGTACGGCCACATCACCCCGCTTTTTTTAGGGCCTTACATGGACAAGTATCATCATACATTGGTGATCTTCTCAGTCCCTAGACCCCCAGCAGGTCCCTGTGGTCCAATGACCAAATCCTACTGGTTGTGCAGCGTACCAGGCTAAAGACCAAAGTTGACAGATCATTTGCTGCTGTGGCCCCCCAGACTCTGGAACTCTCTCCCCCTGAGGCTGAGATCAGTGGACTCAGTGGTCTCCTTTAAAAAGCAGCTGAAAACTCGCAAGCACCTCGTGATTTTTATCTTGAGAGGCACCATATAAAAGATTGTTTTCTTTCTTTCTTTCTTTCTTTCTTTCTTTCTTTCTTTCTTTCTTTCTTTGAAATGTAGCACTTCTGTGCATCCACTGGTCAAGACCAACATGCATTTTTTTTTTACATTTTTGAATTCACATTTTTTCACCTGCTAAACCACTCTTCTGTGTGTACTGTAAGCAGGTGTAGATCTTTTAGTAAGTGTTTGTTACAAATCTATTTGGTTTATTTGACCCTGTGACTTTTCATTTCTGAGTCTATGGGCCTGAATCAATATTTTTGAAAGCAAATCAAGTAACTGTGAATTCTAACATTTTAAAATCTTGCCTTTATTCTGGATGTTTTCATTGGAAACTGAGCTCATTTTATTCACGGGGGGACACATTTCAGTGCTACACTGAAAGTAGCACGGATGTAATTTGATGCAGCGCATGTTCTTGTTCCGGTCTCTTTTTCCGCTGCCACCGGACGAAAATGGTGAGAAGTAATGCTCGCTGAACGAAATCCTTCAACATCTGTTTAATAGACGGGTTTTTTGACCTAGACGGGTCGTGTCTTTTGGTCGGATGCACGCCGTTGCTGTTTGGGGAAACCATTTTTACTATGAAACGTTATATTAAGAGGATAATGGATGTTTAATTTCCATCCAGCTAGCAATTTTTTGTACTGTTAGCATCCTGGTTCACTGTTGTGAAGAGTGGCAAAATGACCAGAATATGACGAGAAATTTTCAACATAGCTATATTAGCTTTAGTTTTTAAATACAATGTTAAGTTTGAGGTGAAAATAACAAAGTTGGTCGTGTTGTCAGTTGTGGTTAGCATGCTAGTTACCTGGGTGAATTAATGCGGGGTTTCCATTTGAGATGTTTTTATTCTTCACTTGTCGTTTGCCATATTTTTTAAACAATTTTTTTAATTGTTTTGCTCATTTAAGCAGTTCTACGTGTCGCATCTTGTTTAAGGTCTTGTCAGTGATGTTTTCAAACACAAATGTCTGAACAAATGATTGTATATGATTCATTCAATTTTACTGAGACAAGACCAACTGTTTTCATGCTGACTTGAGCTGTTTGTTGGTTGTTTCTGACCTCTGATCTTTCATCCTTTCAGACGAAGGGGACATCATCTTTCGGTAAGCGCCGAAACAAGACGCACACCCTGTGCCGTCGCTGTGGGGCCAAAGCCTATCACCTGCAGAAGTCCTCCTGTGGCAAGTGTGGTTACCCCGAAAAGCGCAAGAGGAAATGTAAGTTTCTCCAATAAGAAGATGGCAAACCACTCTTCTGCATTATTGTATTATACTGTTTACGCTTCTTGTGAGTTGAATAACTCTTAAGTGTCCAGGTTGTTTTGAGTGATGATGATGTTTGATTTGTAGACAACTGGAGTGCTAAGGCTAAGAGGAGGAACACCACCGGAACTGGCCGCCTGAGACACCTGAAGGTTGTCTACCGGAGATTCAGGTGAGACATTTAGCTACAATAAATAATAAAGGCAACACGTATTTCTATACTCTTTACATATTAGAGTAAGGATTCTTATGAGAGTAAATAATTTGATTTTCACATAGGTGTTGCTCATTTGTATGCCAGAGTTATACTTGAATATCAAGAATGTTTGCCAAAATAATCTTGGTCAGGTTTCTTCATCCCACATGGTGTTGATGTCTTCTCACTTTTGGGTTTCTTAAAGTAGCAAGTTTCTGCTGAATGAATGTAGTGTCGTGATACTATGCATGTTTAAAAGGAAATGAGACTTGAGTGGATTTGGTTTTAAAACCACAAAGGATTAAGTAAATTTTGTCAAACTAAATAGCATTTTATGAATACATTGGATTATTCAGCTGCGATTATAAACAGTAGTCTTGTCTGTGATGTCTCTAAACACAAATGTCTGAACAAATGATTTTATGATTCATTCATTGTTACTGAGACAAGACAAAACTGTTTAAAGTTATGGGAGGAAATGATTGCTTTTGTTTTGGTTTTGGTATAACTTTACAGGTGAAACTCAATTAAAAACGGTGCAAAACTCCATTATTTCAGTCATTAAACTTAGACTGAGACTACTTAAGGCTAGGAAACCTTTTTAAGTGTTCTGGATGTAGAAGCATCATCACCGAATCTGAAAACTGGTGACTGGAATTTGTCGATCTGACCAACTTTCTTGCAATAGCAGATTTTAGATGATTAATTTTCAAGTTGGTCAGATTTTTAAATTGGAAGTAGGTATTGGCCTTTAAAACTAGAATTAGTTCCTATTAAACGAGGTTCTTTTAGCTTCCGACATGAAGGTGTTTTGAGTTACCTTAACATGTTTCGACCATCGTCTGCGGTCTTCAGAAGTGTCGCAGGTGCAGGGTTTCTCCCAGAAAATGAGGCCCCCTCGTCTCTGTGCATGTTCCAATGTTCCCGTGAACATGAACAGAGATGAGGCGGTCCTATCAGCTGTCTTGCACCCGGGATTCCCTTCTCCAAAGACCAGCCAGCGGAGGTGGGCGTGACCGACCTGGCGGATCTGACAGATTCGGGTTGGTCGCGCCTACCAGAAGAACGGCTGATAGACACGTCACACAAACATCTGTGACACTTCTGTAGAAGACCACAGACGATGGTCGAAACATGTAAAGGTAACTCGAAACACCTTCGTGTCTGAAGCTAAAAGAACCTCGTTTAATATTTAAAAAGAGGACATAATGAACATTGTGAAGGATAGAATCGGTTCCATTCCAGTTCAAAGAGTCCTGTTGGCTGTAGCTGTTGAGTCCATGTCTCTGTTCTGTTCTTTGTTGCATTTATTTGTAAATCTAAGCTGATTCAGTGAGGAAAAGGTTTAAGGCTTACAGTATTTTGATATTTAACACATTTGAAGCTTCAGTAGATAACCCACAGGCGCCTTTTTGCGAACACAACTTATAATGAAAAATGCTAAATGATCATTTTTGCCATTTTGTTTTTCAGGAATGGTTTCCGGGAGGGCACCACCCCCAAACCCAGACGTGCTGCTGTGGCCGCCTCCAGCTCATCCTAAATGATACGTTTTGTTGTTTAAAATAAATGGGACGTTAAACAGGAGTTTCAGAGTCGTGTCGTGATTTTTAAGATCTGGTGATGTTGTTCCAGTGTTTGCTTTAAGCTGATGTTGGTGGACGGCTGTACAGTTTACAATCGGATGTAACTGATATCAATAAAGTTTTTATTGTCAGATTGTTTCCCTGCCTTGAATCTAGTCACAATAAAGGTTTTGACAGGTAATTGAAATCCCTAAAAATGCTTTAAAAAACACAGGAAAGTAGCAAAGCACCAAAATGTTTGACTTTTATCTAATATTCTAGTTTACGGTATGATTTGGTTTGTTGGTAATTAGCTGAGCTGAACTAAGTTACCATTGCTAAGCAAAGTCATCCAGAAAGATCTTGTTTTCCTTCAGAATAAATGTCATGTAAACCTCTAAAAGAGTCTGTATCAGTAGGTCAAACCTAAACAAGAAGTTGGTATTTAACCTCAGAATCAGCTGCAGCTGAATGTGGCACGGAAATGATCGTGAATAAATCATCACCTGTGTAAAGTATTGGGAAATATTTCAAACCAACACCTTGTTCCGTGTTTTATTTAGAATGGACTTTACTTCAGTCACAGAGTTCCAGTACTGCTGACAGACCGTGAGCGTGTTCTAGTGACTTCTTGATCATCAACATTTTGTATTCCCTTTAAACCTCCCCTGGTTTATAAACATGTTTATTCCTGTGATTTTCATCTGAGTAGACCTCGTCCATTAAATGGTGAAGAAGGTTCTCATTCATCCAGGTCATGGTGATCCAAAAGGGTTCAAATGAAAGCAACAGGACTACTTTGGTTTCTTGAAGATGTTTTGCTTCTCATCCGAGGAGCTATGTCATTTCTAATTGGGGAGAGTCAAGTTTACAAGCTGTAGCCGTCTATTATAACGAGCTGAAACTACTCTGGGTACCCCCCCCCCTCTACCCCTTGATGAGTCGTTCGCCTGTATTGGGAGGGAGTCATGTTGATGCAAGAAGGTGTGACCTAGACTGAAACTGCTTAAGCCTAGTTTACTTATCTGTCAGCTCCACTAAGGAGAGACACGCACGCATGGACGAAGACAATTTGCCCTCATACTTCTCCATCTCCTGGGGAGTGTTGCAAAGCAATTCCACGCCAGGACAACTGAGGGCGTAGAGCTGTTCTGTGGTATCCTGTCCTGTATCCGGTCCAAGATAGCATTTACTATTGAGTTTTTTTGTATTTAAGAGACTTTAACAAGGACAATTTTGTCCCTCATTCTCCTCATCTCTTCATGCGCCCGCCGTCCACTAATAAAAAGCTTGCTGCGCATCTTTTCACTCCTCCAGTCACAGGGGAATAACATTTTCATATTTTTAGAGTTTTTTTTTTTCCGCGAGGTACTCTTCTAGCCTCAATGTGTACCGCTAGATTTCCCCGGCCCTTTATGTTTTTGAAGGCGCAATGGCGGCTCTGTAAACGACAGCAATGTGCTGACCAATTACAAGCTTGTGTTCTCCGTCTTGACGGATGGATGTTTAGAAAAGAGCTCGACTCCGTCCGTCCTTGCGAGGGCTCTCCAGCAGGCTCGTAAGGACGGACAATGGCGTTGCGTGCATCCGTCCCAACTCGGTATAAATTAGGCTTGAATGAGATTCAAAGCTGCGTGATAGGTACAGGAAAGGTGAAATCTAAGTCCTCCTCCCCTACTTAACGTGGGCTTTTCATGTTTGACATAGATAGCTTCTTTTACTCCTCTCAAACATCTATGGTATCTTCTCTGTCCAGAATGTGTACTTTGTCTTCTTCAAAGGTGTGTCCCCTGTCCTTCAGGTATAAGTGGACTACAGAGTCTTGACCTGAAGAGGTGGCTCTCATGTGGCGTTGTGCCATGCTCTTGTGTAATTGTTGTTGGAGAAACTAAACAATTACACAAGCGCATGGCACAGAGGGATTTGATTCTCGCCGGTGAGATATTTTAAAATCAGAAATAATTTGCACAACTCTTAAATAAAAATAAAAACTCTAGTGTTCTATTAGTTATCTAATCACATTTTATTAAATTCTATAGTCAATGAAAGAATTTGTTGACAGGCCATCTTCCTGTTATTCAGACGCTTTTAAAGGAGAGCAACTGACTCAGTAGGGTTAGTACATAAACGGTTTACAGCTGCACTGGTTTTTTTCAGTTAGAACAGCAGATCAGCGCTGCGGCTGCTTTTAGCAACACATAAAAAACCTGTGTGTGTGCAGCATAACTGACCAACATGCCCTGCAGAGACGCTTCCTATGGGGGCAGCTGGAGCTGACCTCAGTGCGTCTGTTTGCATGACTTTAGTAAAATCCAGGCTGATGAGTGGCTTCCCCATCAGGAAATCAAGTAAACATTTAGAAAGAGACAAACGATGTTGAAACTTTATGAGATGAGTCAAATGATTTGAGTTTTATGGTTCCACGACTACGCACCACAGCAGAGGAAACTAGCACTCTTCGTTGTTGAAACCAGATTTAAACAAACCGTTTTAGACCGAGTTTCAAAAGACGTAGGAACACCTTAGTTACACAACGAAAGACAAAACTAGAAGGGATTAACGAAGCATAAAGCCTTTGTTTCAGCATCCCATTTCCAGCAGCGGGCTGTTTCCTTTTTAGCAAACGTAAAGGATTTTATCTCCTGTGAGATCTGGTCAGTCTGGTTTCAGTCACTCACAGATGAGCCTGAAAGGATTTTACAACATTTTGTTTCACAACATTCCTGTGATGCTGAGCTTCTACAGTTCTTCCCGCCAGTAACACTCCTCCACTTCTGTGGGGAAAAAAAGTCATTTTTCTCAGCATTCAAAGCTTTTAATCATTTCTGTCACTTCATTTAATAGTAATCTGTTTCACCTTGATGAGGATGCAGAGGTCTAATGGAAATATTTGGAATCAGTTGTTGATGTTTGCGTGTATGAAGTGGGATGTCTGAGTCAAAGACAACAAAAACAATTCTGGATCATGCTGGTTTTGTGAGGCATTTGAGGTCAGGGCTAGTTTATAATACTGTTAACTCAATCCCAGATTGTAGGTATCTACAAGATTGAATCATGTAATTCTTATTAGTGCAGCATTATGGGATTTAACAGGATTTTTCTATAATGCAGCCTTATAATGTAATCTAGTGTAGCAGAAGTTCTAGTAAAAAAATACTGACTTTTCAAAGAAAGAAAAACGACCTTTTCATTAAAACAGGATTTTTTTAAGAAGGCAGGATTGAAGATACACTTTTCATCCACCAGGAGGCAATAAAGAGCAGCATTTAGCACCATCCCACTCCCCTCTGATGCCAGATAAAGACTCACTGGGAGAACTGCAGCTCAGACCTGCTGTCTCTCACCCAGCCCACATCTCTGGTCCAGGATCAACTTCCCTTTGGTTTTATGACCTGGAATGACAGTTCTTTCTAACTGAGGCTGCTGTGATGAGAGGTAAGTGTTGGATTTTAACCTCTCACGTAATCCGATCCAGTTGTTCCTTCTACTCTGGTCTAAAACCTTTTCCCACCCTAAAGCCTCTGTCCTAGGATCAGCCTGTGCCCTTCTCCTGCTGTTGCGACAGCCTGCATGCCAGGGGGATGAGGTCACGGCCAGCACAGGTAAGTGAAAGTTTTGTGAGCTTAAGCCTGGAATTACCAACATAATGTGACATTCTTGGTGGTGGAAGAGCAAGGCAAGGGTTTGAAATAGAAATATGTTTTTCTAATTTTCCTCTGGATATACCGGGTCTTCCTCTGACTGAACATAACGGATCAGTAGTTAAATAAACATTCCTTCAGCTATGATAACAAGACAAGCCTTGACAGGATGTGTGCAGGCACTAATAGCAGAACTTCATCAGCAAACACACCTTACAGACATTTGTTTTCCTTCTATAGATTAAAACACTAAAACCAGATCATTTCCCTTTTACACAAAGCCCAGCTGGAACGGTTTCAGCGTTTAGCACATGCTTGTGAGTTTGGTTTATTTCTTGCAGCAGAGCCAAACTTAACTTTTCTGACTTGAACAGACACATCCTCTCACACCCCTCATGCTTGCCTTACACCCTCAGGCACATGTCCCCCTCTCCCTTTCTTTATTTTCACTCTTACCTGATTTTGACTTCCAGACCCTGAGCTCTTCTTCCTTTTTTCTTTTCAAAAGGAAAGTTGTGTTATTGTCTGTTTTTTTCCCACACTGGATATTTTTGTCTCAAGAGATTAAAAGTTCATCAGAAACTCTAAACCCAGATACGATTCTTCACGTTTAAATCTACTGAGGGTCAGGTCGGATGAAACGAGACGGGAACTCCTGCGTGAAATCAGAAACCATGTCTGCAGTTTATGGAGACTTTCTGACGCGGGTTTCAGGACCATTGCAGACAAAGAAAAGAGGTCATGGACATGCATGCTTCTGCACGTGCACAGACGTTTAAAAAAGCTCTTCGAGGAATATCTTTTCATCAGAAAGGATCTGATGTTTTCTCATCTGTCATCCGTGCAGATTTATCAGGGTCTATCCTCAAACTGATGGATGGATGGATGGATGAACTCTCTTTTTGAACCCATCCTCTGCGTCTCATTCATTTGTGTTTGCAAATAACAAAATCCCTAATGAAGGTTTTGTTGACAGTTTTGCTCTGAAAAAAATACATATTTGTCACCGTCCATTAGCAAGCAGCTTGTCTCAGCGTACAGACCCGTAGCTGTTAGAGAACAGTATGCCTGTCTGCTCCTCCAAAGTTCACTAATCACCCCATTATGTTCTCATCTGTTCCACAATTAACCCAAAGTAGAAGAAACAAATTCCTTTCCCATCTACAGAAATGTTTTTGGAGACGTGAAAAGTTGCCAGGCAACCAGACAAGACTTGGGTCTGTTAAATAAAACCCTTTAAACCGTTTGTATAAAAAAAAATACATTTAAAGTGTTAATCGGTGAGGTTGCAGACTCATTCCCCTTTCATGGCTTGAAAATGCATCTCCACAATGACACTCTTATGCACAAAAGCAAGAGAAAAGACAAGTGACACCACTGCTTGTTATTTTTCTCAACTTATCTGTTTTCTCAACATCAAGTGTCTGCATGCAGGTGTTGTAATCTAGACAGTTTGTGTGTTCTGCAAAAGGGCAGCAACTTTTAGAAGTTGAAAAGTAAAAATGTTTTAAATATCTGCAGAGTTAAACTGTAAGCTCTACAACAATGTTAGACACAATGTAAACAAAGATAGAAACAAAATTTCACATTTTTTTTCCTACATTTTGGAAAATACCATTTTAAAGGTCGAACCCCCTTTCTTTAGGCTCCCCCCTAGAGTCACAGGTTCTGATGGTTACATAAAATGTTGTAACATTGGGCAGACACAACAGATACTGTTAAACAACAATTAAAATATATCCTTATCTTGCTCTGTTTTGACCCGTTGTTGGCACCTACTCTGCCATCATTACTAACGTAACACACACACACGTAACCGTACAAAGACTTGGTTTGCAGGCGATGAATAAAAAGCTGTATTTAAAAAGTAAAAATACCCCCACTGGGTGTTTAGAGGTTACAGTTTTTCCTTTAAAATATAAATAAAAAAATAATGATCAAAAAAAAATTTTGACCGGCACAACACTGGGTTTATGTTTACATTGACCAGCCACTAGAGGGCACCATTGTACTAAAAAGACCGTTCAGCAAGGAGAGGCTGGGACTGTGTAAAATTGCAGACTTGACATGTCAAGCAGCTGATTCTGAGCCCACAAGATGCTTCAATGGTAAATACTGTTTTAAATTAGTCCTTATCCTGTGCAATTTGTCACTGTACATGTTGCTGGTTGTCAGTAGTGAACCAACATCCCAACGGCTGGAAAATTTGTTCTGTTGTTGTGATACCACCTCTGAACACTAGAATTCACCAGAGTGTTCGCCAAAGTGTTTGTGTTCCTTATTTGACCTTTAAGTGCCCATCTTGTAACTGGAGGATTGTGGGTCCACACCCCACTCAGTCCATTGCAGTCACTGTATCTTTGGGCAAGACACTTAACCCAACTTGCTAGCTGATGGTGGTCGGAGGGACCGGTGGCGCCTGTGCTCAGCAGCCTCGCCTCCATCAGTGGGTCCCAGAGAAGCTGTGGCTCATCACCACCAGTGTGTAAATGTGTGTGTGAATGGATAAATGAATGGTTGTGTTGTAAAGCAAGTTGTGGAGTTGTGGAACTTTAGGTGCTACATAAGTCATTTAAAATGTTAACATTTGGTATGCTAGCTAATTTGGTGTGGTGTTTTTATGGAGAAAATCAAGGCCAGTTTTAGCCTTCTTGGTTTATTCAAAATCACAGCAGCTCCATGCCAACACACACACACACACACACACACACACACACACACACACACACACACACACGCACGCACACACTGCTCTGCCAGCCAACAGAGGATGGGCATTGTTCACAGACGCCAGGTCTGTCACCTAAACATTTACCAACACGAACAGAACTTTACAGATTATAACAACTCCTTAAAAGAAATGTGTCAACAGAACGGAACATCCCATCTGTTGCACCAGGCAGCTCAGCTCTGGCTTAGCTTCCTGTTCAGCTGCTCCAAGCTGAGAATGCACAATTCATGCACAGAGGGGTGAAAGATGGCCAGAGGGCAGTTTGATGGATGAATTATGATCTAATCCTTAAGAACAGGGCGTTAGCAATGATTGGATAAGGGGTTTCCAGGAAGTTTCAGAAGTGATTTAAGTAATTGTTATTGTTTTTTTTGGGGGGGGGGGGTTTTTTTTTGATGAAAGCATTTAATTTATTGGTTGTGATTAACATGTGAAATGCTCCACAAACACCATCTCATACCCCACCTTTAAACTACAATTTCAGATAAACCGTTAAATATTTGAACAAGCAGATTTGGCTCTCAATGTCTCATCGTCTGTCTGAAGGGAGTGTCCTGGTGGAATTAGTTACCTTTCACGGAGCACATTGTTTTCTGAAAAAATGGAGGATTTACGGAGTTCCCCACACATTTCTAACAACTTAGCCAACTTTGCAAAAGATTTAGAACCTCAAAAAACAAAATAACTGCAATTACATTAGTCACAGCTGTGTCATCCTCTCTGCAGTGATGGACTTAATCACCAGTAAGTGGAGCTACTTAAAGTGCTGAAATTAATGCTTGATTTAACTGTGTAAAGGCTGACGCCACACTTACGCTATCAATTATTAAAATTGCCACAATCTTTGGGTTTGTCTGGCAGAACAAATGGGCTGGGGTTGATTTTGAGACAGAACCACAGACCATTAAATAGCATTTAGTGGTTAGCAGCACTGGTACCCATTAGTCAGCATCCTGTGTTGCAGAAGTTCTTTCAGTTTGAAGCGTGCATCCTGGCCAGAAGGTAAAACAGGAAGTTGGACAGCGGTAAGCCGGAAACTGATATTGTTTTTTATTAGTTTGAATATAAAAACATCCCATTTTATTAGAATGGTGATCATGTTTCACTTTCTTTGATAAGGGTCAGCCTTAAACCCAAAACAAATGACTGTTCCATTATGAAACCACTTTTGTTTTGTTTACCTATCTTTTCTGCTTCTGTGGACCTTTAGAGTCTGCCTCTTTGGGAATGTGTTTATATTATGACATTAGTTTTCTCCTAACATCAACTAATGTTGCACAAAAGCGTGAAATTCACATGCCTGAGATTCTTAGAAAACCATCTAGGCTCTTTAAAACGTAAATTATCCTGCAGGCGGCTGCAGGCTTTGGCTATCTCACCTTGGGGACTAAAAAGTACGATTTATACACAAATGTTGCTGTTTTAAATTTCTACCACACTTCAAGAAAATAGTTCCAGGCCTGTGTCAGTTATCACTCTTGCATATGTCAGTAATATTTGAGGCGTCTTTTACTGTTAAGATTTTCTTTTTTAATCTGTAAAGAATGAAATCATCATGAGATAATTTCTCTGCTGTTGGAGGACGTAAGGCGGAACTCTAAAGCTCATTATGAGACATCATGTTTTAAAAGTGTTTGTGAACAGATGTTTTTGCTTTGGAAAGTTCCAATCCAATCCAGTTTTATTTATAAAGCACTTTAAAAGACCCAGCACAGGAACAAAGTGCTGTACAGAAAATACATTAAAACAATTGACTAAACAGAAAACAGCAAAGATAAATAAATAAAACACATGATACATACAATTAAAATAGCCCTATATTAAAAAATTAAAACTTGATAAAACCGCATTGAATCACCTAAAACAGCTAAAATAAAATAAAAAATTGAAACCAACATCTCACAAAAGCCAGGGTAAAGAGGTGGGTTTTCAGGAGTGCCTTAAAAACAGATAAGGAACTGGCCTGGAAAGTTGTCACAGTGCAAGAATGAGCGCTGCAGTCACACGAAAACCATTCAAAGTCAACATTTCACTTTGCTTTCTGCTTCTTTTTTATGCCAGTTTCACAAATGAGCTCCCTGCCTGTCTCGTGTGTTTTTTATTCACAGTGAACCCATGCTGTTACTTCCCCTGCCAGCACTGGGGTGTGTGTGTGCGCTATGGCAGAGACAAATATGAGTGCGACTGCACCCACACCGGCTACTATGGAGAAAACTGCACAATCCGTAAGTCCACGATGTCTCCTCGTATCTTCTTTTGTTATTACGCCCCTCAGGAATTTCAAACATTCCTAAGACAGATGGACGTTTTGGAAAAGGTTGTTTTATGTTGTTAATATTAAATCAGGAAATGGTACAACATAGCCTCTGGCTCACAGAGTTAAAGTTTCTTGCCTGGATCCAAATATTTGGAGAAAAACTGGTGGAAGTGCCAGCGAGGGGGAGCAGCTGGATTCGAGGTGGTCCGAGTGAATCTCTCCCAGCAGTACTACTGGATGTCCCAACCCAAGGGAATGGCTGACAGTTAGATAAAGTGTAATAATATTAAGGCGGGAGATGAGCTCATTGGATGGGATCATGTATGTATGTAAATCTTTATGAAAGAAACATGCGTGCACCAAGTGTAAGACATGTTTATGGAGCACATGTTAAAGCTGTAGAGCCTCACAATCTAAAAGACTGGATTTAAAATCAAAGAAGGCTCCATTTTTTTGTTGTTTTGGGTTTTTTTTTTGCCTCCAGTGAAGACTAACGACGTCTGGAGTCAGAATCTTTAGCCTCTTTGGACTGAACTTATTCCAGCGGATCCCACAGATTCTTGATCCAAATAAGATCCTGGAAGTTTTTGGATTAAGATGGATAATTCTTGTAATTCCTCGGATAGAGAAATCTCCTTAATAATCACAACATGTGCAGATGTGTCTGTTGGGTTTTGAAACTCGAATCTACATTAATGTGTGTCTTAAATTCATCCTTTTAAATATGTTTAAAAGGAGACATGTGATCCCGTCCTTTTGTGCTGCAACCACGTGGGTCGCTGGAGCTTCTCAGCTCATAGCAGCCTGAGGGGAGTGGGTGGGCATGGCCAGCAACAACTTGTTTACTGAAAGTGACAGAGCCCTGAAGGGGCTTATCCTTCAAGGTATTGAAAATGTCTAGAATAAAGCTGCTGAAATCGCTTCATGCGAGAGGGCTTTTCTTTGAAATACTTCATAAACATGTTTTGTATCCACCGTAGAACTATTATAATTTAAGAAAAAAGTCATATTGTGTCCCCTGTATTCGTTGAACCTTCAGAAAAACATCTGAATCTATTTGGGTGTTCAAATACCCCAGTTCTCTCACTTCCAATTAAAATAAAAATGTTCTTTTCCCTACTACAGCTGAGGTTTGGACTCGCATGCGTCAGTTCCTGAGACCCCGTCCAGATGTGGTCCACCACATTCTGACCCATTTCCAGTGGCTCTGGGACATCATCAACAACACCTTCTTACGGAACGCCCTCATGCGCCTTGTGTTAACAGGTCCAGAACACGTGGTTCTTCTGAGGAATTTCATCACACGTTCTTTATCTCCTGCCTTATTTATTTTCTGTCTCCAGTGAGGTCTAATTTGATACCCAGCCCTCCAACCTACAACTCAAAATACGGCTACCTCAGCTGGGAATCCTACTCCAATCTCAGCTACTACACTCGTCTCCTGCCCCCGGTGCCTGAGGACTGCCCCACTCCCCTTGGGATCAAAGGTCAGATCTGAGTTTTGTATCTTTTATGATGAAGTTTAACAAGAACTCCCAGTAACAGAAATAGATTTGTTACTCACAGGATGTTTATGTAGTTTTTATAAATTGAAGAAACGGTGGCTGCCTGGTGGGTCCTGAGTCCCTGGGCTCTGTTGGGTGCCCGGCAGGGCTGGTCGCCCCTGGGTCCCGGGTTGCTGGGTTCCGGGCTTAGGGGTGGGAGGCTGCAGGCGGTCCTGTGGGCTTGCCGCTGATATCTCCCGGGACTCTGCCAGCTGCTGGTTGTGACCCCCCGGGGCAATCCTCTGCGCCTCTCGAGAGGGGGCAGGGACTTTTCTGGTTACAGAGAGAGTGAATAGGAAAGAGGGAAATCAGTGGATCCTGAGGAAGGTGGAATAGGTAGGGAGAGCAAAACAAGGAGAGGCTGATGAAGGTCGCACCAAAACCAGCTTGAACAGGTGAGACTTCAGCTGCTTTTTAAAGGAAACCACTGAGTCCACTGATGTCAGGCTCAGGGGGAGAGAGTTCCAGAGTCTGGGGGCCACAGCAGCAAATGACCTTTGGTCTTTAGCCTGGTGCGCTGCACAACCAGTAGGCTTTGATCACTGGACCTCAGGGACCTGCTGGGGGTGTAGGGACTAAGAAGATCACCTTTGTAAGATGGTGCTTGTCCATGTAAGGCCCTATAGACCAGCACCAGGGTCTTGAAATGAACCCTGAAGTTGACTGGCAGCCAGTGAAGCTGGAGGAGAAGCGGGATGATGTTGGTGTGTTTGGAGGACTTGGTCTGAAGCCGAGCACAGGCATTCTGAACCACCTGCAGACGGTTCAGGGAGGTTCTGCTCAGACACGTGAAAAGAGAGTTACAGTAGTCTAAGCGTGAGGAGATCAAGGTGTGGATAACTGTCTCAAGTTCAGAGCGGGACAGAATGGGACTCAGCTTAGCAATGTTCCTGGGATGGAAGAAGGAAGAACGAACAAGAGAATTGACATGAGAATCCAGGGTGAGAGCTTGGTCAAAGGTCACACCAAGATTCCTGACAGAGGGTTTGGTGTGAGAAGCAAGCTGACCAAGAGAGACTGACTTTGGGAACCAGCTTGTCTGGGGCACAGATGAGGATCTCAGTCTTTTCTTCATTCAGCTGAAGAAAGTTCCCAGCCATCCAGGTTTTGATAGTCTAAGCAGGTGTGTAACAGCTGCAGCTTAGACATCTCATGGGGCTTAAAGGAGATGTACAGTTGGATGTCATCTGCATAAAGATGGTAGGAGATTCCTTTGAAGGAGCTCAGGATATGTTGAAGAGGAAGCAGATAGAGGAGGAAGAGCAGAAGCCCCAGCACAGAACCTTGTGGGACACCATGGGTAAGAGAGGTAGTGGAGGACCTAAACTTGGAGACAGCCACAGAAAAGGAGCGCTCGGAAAGATAAGAGGAGAACCACTCCAGAACAGATCCTGATAGGCCTACCCAGTCTCCCAGCCTCTCCAGTAGCAGGTGATGGCCAACAATGTCAAAGGCTGCAGTCAGGTCCAACAGGACCAGAACAGAACAGTCCCCTGCATCACTGTGAGTCAGAAGGTCATTAGAGACCCTACGAAGAGCTGTTTCAGTAGAATGAGCTCTACAAAAACCTGACTGGAAGCTAGCTCTACAAAAACCTGACTGGAAGCTATCATAGATGTTATGTTCATCAAGAGCATCTGTGAGTAGTTTAGCCAAAACATTTTCCAAGATTTTGGAGATGAACAGAAGTTTAGAGATGGGTCTGAAGCTGCTATGGAGAGAGGGGTCGAGACTCGATTTTTTTAAGAAGCGGGTGGATTACAGCGTTCTTAAAGTTAGCAGGGACCTGACCAGAAACCAGAGAAGCATTAATTATAGAGAGCACGCTGGGACCGATTGACTGAAAAGCACTTTTAAACAAAGATGAGGGTAAGATGTGGAGGGGGCATGCAGAGGTCTTCAAAGAGTTAACTAGTTTGGTTAACTCAGGCAAAGAAACAGAAGCAAAGCTATCTAGGATGATGGGCCTGGTTGGAGTTGGGAGATGCAGAGATAAGGCTTAAGGAAAGATGCTAGATCTGACCGTATTGACTTTGTCCACAGAGGAAGACAGAAAGTTTTCACAGTCTGCAACAGAGTGGATGGAGGCTGTAGGAGAGGCCAGAGAGACAATACTGCTGATGGTGTTAAATAGCACCTTGGGGTTCTCTTTGCTCTGGGACTGCAGGTTGGAAAAATAGGCAACCCTTGCATCTCTGACTGCAGATTTAAAGGATGTCAGAAGAAGGTGCAGCAGATGGACATGGAGACTGGTTTTCTTCCACAAGCGCTCAATTTTTCTGCATTGGCGCTTTAGACTGCGAAGGCTGTCATTAAAGCAGGGAGTAGGGTTCACTGCAGGAAGTGATCTGGTTCTGACAGGACAGATGTTGTCCAGAATGGAGAGGCAGTGCTCGTTAAACTGAGAAGTTAAGGAATCTGGGTCATTTTCAGAAGAACAGGGTGGATCAAAAGCAGCACAAAATTTGCTAGCTGTGCTCTCATAAGTATAGACTTGGGCATTTTCAACATGTCTTAAGGCTGTGGTGGGCACTAAATGCAATGTGATTTATTATCTTGTGATTGTTCAGTAAAACAATGTTGATTTTATATTTCCTCATCAGGTTGACACAGTGATTGCGTGCTCTTGTTGTATAGTTGTGTCCCTTTTTATGTTTGTTTTTCTCTTTCTGCAGGTCTAGAAGCAGACTCTTGTTCATCATTGATTGTTTATTCTTGTGGAATTGTTTATTTGTTTGTTTGTTTTTTCAATACAACCATGCTGTTAAAAACTGATTTTGTAAAATCAGTTTAGTTGTGTCTGAAGACGGTGTCTGAATGGTTGTTTGTTAGTATGAAGTTTGTCTTTGCTGGTCTCGAAGATCTGGTTACCATTTCATCACCAAACCACGATAGAGCCGCATTTTTCCTCCTTGCATCTTAGACTCATACATTCCAGTTTTGGAAGTTACAGGTTGTCATTGTAGTAATTTCATCTATTGAGTGATGCTGGGTTGGGAGTGAGTCTTTGCCTTAAGCAAAGGAGATTTACTATCAGTAAAAGGGTGTTGTCTATCGTGTCAGAGAAGTAGATTAGCTGAAGGGGAAAACTCTCTACTTACAGATCCATCTGCATTCCAGCCATCACCTGAGGTCTTAAAGGTGTGGTCGACCAAAAAACCTTTTTTTTTAATGTTTTTTTCTGATTATAATCAATCACTCTGAGTTCATACAGGCTGAACATGAAAATAGTCTCCTACACCTATCTCCTGTGTTAGCTTCTGATAGAAAATAGACAAATCTAGCATTTGAAAATCTTCACAGATCTATGTCACACTGTGAATAAACATTCATGGACCCACCCATCTTGACTCACAACAGGAAAGGTTGTTTTTTTAAACATCCGGGAATCAGCAGAGGTCTCTGTTAGTTTGAGCTAACCGTTAGCACTAGCAACTTCACCACACGGCAGAAGCTCCTCCAGGCTTGTGTTTTATGTGGAAATAAAAAAACTTTGCTAGTTGCTGATAGAGTTGCATGGCTGTTATCCAGTCCAGGGTGAGATGTCCATACATCAGGAAATAGGACTCCAAACCCTGCCATCTGAAGCTCAGCTGTGATGTGGGCAACTTTTAAAGTCAGAGGAATGGTGCACCAGTGTATTTTATCCCCCCAAGAATGACGTACAAAGCATTTATTCCTACAAGAGGAATTTTGTGTACACACACACACATATATATATATATATATATATATATATATATATATATATATATATATATATATATATATATATATACAGGTGCTGGCCAGTAAATTAGAATATCATCAAAAGGTTGAAAATATTTCAGTAATTCCATTCAAAACGTGAAACTTGTACATTATATTCATGCAATGCACACAGACCAATGTATTTCCGATGTTTATTACGTTTAATTTTGATATTTATAGGTGACAACCAATGAAAACATCAAATCTGGTATCTCAGAAAATTAGAATATTCTAAAGGCCAATGAAAAAATGTTTGTTTCTCTAATGTTGGCCAACTGAAAAGAATGAACATGAAAAGAATGTGCATGTATAGCACTCAATACTTAGTCGGGGCTCCTTTTGCCTCAATAACTGCAGTAATGCGGCGTGGCATGGACTCGATCAGTCTGTGGCACTGCTCAGGTGTTATGAGAGCCCAGGTTGCTCTGATAGTCGTCTTCAGCTCCTCTGCATTGTTGGGTCTAGCGTATTGCATCCTCCGCTTCACAATACCCCATAGATTTTCTATGGGGTTAAGGTCAGGCGAGTTTGCTGGCCAATCAAGGACAGGGATACCATGGTCCTTGAACCAGGTGCTGGTGGTTTTGGCACTGTGTGCAGGTGCCAAGTCCTGTTGAAAGGTGAAGTCTGCATCCCCATAAAGTTGGTCAGCAGCAGGAAGCATGAAGTGCTCTAAAACTTCCTGGTAGACGGCTGCATTGACCCTGGACCTCAGGAAACAGAGTGGGCCAACACCGGCAGATGACATGGCACCCCACACCATCACTGACGGTGGAAACTTTACACTGGACCTCATGCAACGTGGATTCTGTGCTTCTCCGCTCTTCCTCCAGACTCTGGGTCCTTGATTTCCAAAGGAAATGCAGAACTTGCTTTCATCAGAAAACATAACTTTGGACCACTCAGCATCAGTCCAGTCCTTTTTGTCCTTGGCCCAGGCGAGACGCTTCTTGCGCTGTTTCTTGTTCAAGAGTGGCTTGACACACGGAATGCGACACCTGAATCCCATGTCTTTCATGAGTCTCCTCGTGGTGGTTCTTGAAGCGCTGACTCCAGCTGCAGTCCACTCTTTGTGGATCTCCCCCACATTTTTGAATGGGTTTGTCGTCACAATTCTCTGCAGGGTGCGGTTATCCCTAGAGCTTGTACACTTTTTTCTACCACATTTTTT